GTCTAAATCTAAAAATCTCCTAAATCTTAATATTTTATTATCTTTCTCTAAAGTATTCTACTCTCTTTTTAATAGAGCGTCTAGTACTATTACCTTATTTCTCGGTCTATAAACTAAGGTAAACTAGAATAATAATATTACTTTATACTAATAAATTTACTACTCTATTAATTATTTTTTTATTATAAAATACTCTAGGTTCTTATAGTCTATTAAAATATTAAAGTAGCTATAGGTTTTTAGCTCGAGTCTCTAAAACTTTAAGTAGGACACTATAGCTAGTATTTCTTTATTATAGATATTATAGTTAATTTCTACCTTATTTAGCTTCTAGGAAAAGAAGCCGACTAGTCGATAGACTCTATCTTTTTCTTAAAGAAGAGCGCCTTCTAGTATAAATCTACTATAATCTATTTTAAGGAATATAGAAAGTAATAGATTCTAGTAGTAAAGTACTAGAGCTATATAAAACTTTTCCTTTAAAACCTAGAACGCTTTCTCCTCTTCTTTTTTTTAGAAGAATAGTATACCTTTACTAGTTAGTATAGTTAAAGGCTTTACTAATTTTAAGTAGTTTATAATAGATATCTAATAGTAGTTATAGAACTCGAGAAAGCGGTAGACCTCTTTTTAAGTCTTAAGTACTATCTAGTTTTATACGGCTTTAATCTTTTCTAGATCGGGTCTTACGCCTCTTTTATTAGTATATATAATAAATTCTAGATATTTAATCTTCTTTTACGTAAACTTACTTTTTCCTAGATCTAGAAATAGGCCTCTATTCTATAGTTTACAGAGAACGTCGTAGACTTTCTTAAAGTAGTCTTTCTTTAACCCCTTTATATAAATTACTATATCGTCTATATAGGCTAAGTAGAAGTCGTCTAAATACTCTTATAGTAAGCTATTAATATACTACTAGAATATAGCCGGGGCCCTATTTAAACCGAATAGAGTTACTAACTATTCGAATAAACTAAATCTAGTTTAAAACGTAGTTTTATATTTATAGCCTATAGCTACTCGAATCTAGTAAAAGGCTAAGACTATATCTACCTTTATAAGCTAATCGGCGCCCGCTATATTTCTAAGGGTCTCTAGAATAAGTAGTAGAGAATATCTGTCCGGCTTTATAATTACGTTTAAAGTATAATAATTATAGTAGAACCTAAGTCCTTCCCCGGGCTTCTATATAAATAAGATAGGGGCCGCTACCTCTAATATATTAGGCCTAATATAGCCCTTTCCTTAGAGGTCGTTTAGCGACTTTCTTAAAACTAGTAGCTCGTTCTTCGATATACTATATAGTAGTCTCTATAGTAAAGCCGTCGGAGTCCTATCTACCTAGCTTTAGATCTCGATCTTATAGTTAATTTCTAGTTAGTAAGGGGCTAATTTCTCCGCTACCTACTTCGAAAATAATAGTACTATATCGCGAACCTCTAGAGGTAGTCTTCTTTTTAACTATTCTATAGATAGTTCTTCCTTGTTCTTTATAGCCTTTTTAACGTCCTTAGCGCTAGCGGCGGCTACTGTCGTAAAAGCCCCGTTATCCGTATAGTCGTAATAGTTACGACCTTTTTTTATCTATTACCTTACTTTACTATAATAGAACTACTATTTATCTAGCGCGGTCTATATTTTATTTTATACTTTCTAGAGGTTCTCGAGGATTATTAGAAATACTAGGTCTAGTATTACGTATATATATACTACTTAACTATACCTAGTAATATCTATTTAGAAAGCGACTACTCCTTTAACCTCTAATTTCTATATAGTAGAAGAGGCTTCTATTATCTTTCGTTTTTCGTTACTAATAAACTTAAGACTAAGTCCTTTTATAAGGTCCCTATTAATTATAGTATAGTATTAGTATCCTTTATTAATAAGAGCGAAAGTTCTAAAAGTTTTCTAAAGAATTATATCTATATATATAAGATTTCTATTTATTACTTTCTTTTCTTTCTCTTATCCTTTAGCTAATACTCTTTTAGCTCTTAGTTTCTAACTACGACTAAGAGCCAGACTTTTCCCGATTTAGAAGATTCGGGCTCTATAGTTTTGTCGTCGTCTTCTAGGAGTAGGCCCGACTCGACTTAGTTAATTTTAATAGGTTACGCGGGTAGGTCGTATAGGTATTCTCGGATATAGTACCCTAAGGCTCTATATTAAAAGTAGAGTTTTTTCTCTTAGCGTTTCTCTCTCTTAGCTATATCTACCTATTTTGCTCTTTACTTTCTATTCGAAGACTTATAGTCTCTATTACCTTTCCCTTATTTACTATATATACATATAGGTACTATTACTATATTACTATTAGTATCTACTCTAGATATTATAGAGGGCCCCTATAACTATATAGTTACTATTATTCTTATTATAGAGTTCTTATTCTATTCTCTCTATTTCTTATTAGCTAATTTAAACTAATTAGTCTCTTTAAGGTTAGTTATAATACATTCTACCTCTTCTACGAAGCTATAGTAGTCTATTATCTTTACTATAGTTACTATATATATCTAGATAGAATTCGAGAAGGTATTCTTAAGGTAGCTAATCTTAGTATCGCTTTCCTAGCTCTCTCCGCTAGTATATAGTAGAAGTTTATCGAATTCTAGCTAGTATTTATACTATAGTTAACCTAGAGAGTATCTTATATTTAATAGCCTCTCTAGGGTTTTAGCCTTCTCGTTACTATCTATAAAAGTCTTATCGAGTTATGTAAAAAATACTTTAGGCTCCTTACTATAAGTAGCGTCCCTCTTTTTCTAGAAGTACCTTATTCTAGCTCTTTTCTAGGATAGAAGAGTATTATAGATAGTGTTCTAATAATACTCTATAGAGAGAGTTAGTTTTACTATAGAACGTACTCTATACGAGCTTTTAAGTCTTAAAAGGTAATTCTAAAAGATATCTACTCGTCTATTCTAGGTTAACGGGTACTAATCTTTAAGGCCTAATAGTTATCCGTCGGACTACGACTTATTTACGTCGAAGGAGGCGATTAGAGCTCTTAAAAGGTTATTTATAGAGGGGGAGTTTTCTAATATACTTAGTTAACTCTCTCCTTCCTCTCTACGTTTTTCTATAAAACGCTCTCTTTTTAACTCGGCCTCTATCTCTTATTAGCGTACGTAAACCTTTTAAAGTACTTCTAATAACTTAGCGTTTATTAATACTTATTATTATTATTTCTTAGTAGCCGATAAGCTTTCGCTAGTAGACAGTATAAACCTATCGGATTAGGGGACTTATCTTAGATCTATAATTAATCGAACTTAATATTATAGAAAAGCTATATATATATAAGGGCTTACTTATAGAATTAAATAAGTTCGATAAAGAAGAGAGAAGAACTCTACTTAGAGCCCGCCTTTTATATATAGGAGTACGGCGCTTAGTAGTAGCGCTTTATATAGTATATTAGGGTAGGGCCCTCGCTTAGTAAGTACTAGTACGTGTAGCTAGTGTTCTACCTCTAGAGTCTAAACCCTTATACCGAGCTAATATTTATTAGGTAGAGTAATAAATTTATAAGATAATTAAGCGTCCTATAGTACTTAAGTATTATACGTAGATTCTTTCTACCTAGCTAAGATATAAACAAAATTTATATTAAAGTTATATACTACGAGAACGTTCTAAGAGAGATACCTCTTTCTATTTCGATATAGTCCGTAGAACCCTATAGGTATATAAGCTTTAATATAGGTTCTATTAAGAGCTCTAAGGTAATCTTTAAAGTAAGGAAAGAACCTAGGATTATCTCTAATTAAAGAGGTAATTAGAGTGTTAAGATTAGGCAATTTAATAAACTACGTATATAGCTTAAGTAGTATATCTAAAACATCGTAAAAAGCTCTATAAATTAATAAGTATTAGTTCTATCGCTATTTTATATTAATAACGTACTTACTAATTAATTTACTAAAGTGCCCGAAGATCTTTACGACGTTACGATTTAAGATAGCTTTAGAGGTAATAAAAATAAGGATTATAATCTTCTCTTCTACTAAGATATATCGTCTTTAATTAATACTACTACTCTCTTTACTACTTAGTACTATATTAGCTAGAAGCTAGTCTCTTAAAGTAAAGAACGTCGATAATTCTATACGTAAGTAATACCTAATCCTTTTAGTATCGCCTAATCCTAATAACTTCTAAATATAGTACTCTCTAATTATTTTAGCTCTTTTACGACTATTTCGGCCGCTTTTATCGATATCTACGAAGATTGTCCTAAATATTAGAAGATCGTCTAATAGATCGTTAAATAGAGTAAGAGGAAATAAGATAAGATCTATATTATACTAAAATAAGAGAGTTTATTAGTAGAAGTTAGGTTTTTATTATATTTTAATAGGATTCTAATAATTATATAAGTAGTCGAGACCTATTTTTATAGTTGTTAGAATTCCCTTATCTAAATAATAATAATTTAATAATTAATACGGACCTCCTACCTAGGTGTACGCTAAAAGTAGTACCTAGTCCCTATTAAGCGTTTACTAAGTAAGGTCGGTAAAAATTAAGTAGTTTTAGGAATAGCTTTATATTAGGGCCGTAGGGAGACCCTGTACTATTCTGACAATTTTGTCAAATTGTTAGTGAGTAAACAGAGCCTAATACAAATAAGGTGTTGTAACGCAATAATAATTAGGACTTGTGTTTGAGTTACTCAGTGTCTATCTCGTCTGCTTACACAGGTGTTCTCGTTCTCTCACTAATCTTCGTTTCCACATTCTTTGAACACTTTAGATCCGAGGACTCGAGGGCTAAGTTACCTTGCAGAACTATTCATATAACAAATCCTGCAACCTGGTGAGACTGAAATGTGTGTACCATTCGTTTTTGCAGCCGATAAGCAAGTCGGCCATGCTATGTGACTTTGCGGCGTAAATATCCAACATGTTGGAACAAGGCTTAAGAACCAAATTGTATCAAATACCCAGCTCCCTTGGCAACGGTCTTCTCTCATTTTCTTTTGCTCAAATATGGAGGGCGAAAGAAGTGGTTCGGCAAGTACTCCTAGCGCGAATAAAACCAGCAATCACGCCTCCACAGACAAGCGTCGGTCTGCGTGCGATTCCTGCCACCATGCAAAAGTGCGTTGCTCTGGCGACCTTCCCTGTTCAAAATGTACGAGAGAGTGAGTTTTAGCCCAGGTGTAGCTCAGCTTAATACTTAATGAGAGTTAGTTCCACAGATTGCCATTACAGCGCGCCATCCAAAGTTGGAAAGCCGAAAGGAAGCAGAAATAAAAAAACGATCGAAAAATTAAAAGTCGCTGAAAAAGATGCGGCCAATAACCAGACTGCCGGCTCTGATAGCCAGGGGAATGAAATATACGCCTCCGTAATTGATGACTCAAACACTCTCGGCCAAGTCTCTACTTACACATCATCTCCGTTCTATTGCCAGTCAATCAACATGGATTCAACCTTCGGAATACTTGACAGAGATATTGACCCCATATTTGTGAGCTCCGGTACAGAATTTATGGATGAAACCCATGCAAGAAATAACTGGTCAGACTGTTTTGTAAGCATTGTAATCTTTTGATTGTTTTGATCATTGCTAAATTACGCTAGCAATCCAATTCTCCGCCGTCATCCAACACTGCTAACTCGAACACTAAGTCCAACATGAAGTCTTTAATAAGTGTCGAAGCGGATCCTATGTCTATGGCAATGGACGAGACTACGAATGCGGACGGATACAGCAATGATTTCCAACCTCAAGAAAGCTCGGAAGGCTTGGAAATCAGGGATTTCGTTACGGCTGCAAATGACCGAAATGCTTTGATGCCAACATCTATTGTACCAGAATCAAGGCGATCAGAAAGGGGTCACTCACTTCACGCAACTCAGTACGAGACTCGAAGTCTAGAACAGCTACCCCCCTGCTCTGCAAGTCAAACCTCGGTTCAAAGTCGTGTTTATCGTGATCGAATAATCTCTACTGAGCAGTGTCGCTGTTTGCAAGTGCAAGTTCAACAACTTTGCGAGCTGCGGCAAGTGGAACAACGTCAAAGTTCTATTCTATTCGACACCATTCAACACTTTACAGCAGGTGGATATCAGTTGCTGGAACGAACCTTTCGATGCCCTGTTTGCTTGCCAGATCAACAATGTTTGCAGATTGCGAGCATGGTTTTGCAAACATTCTCGAAGTGGGTTGAAAATTTCCAAGTAAAGTCGTTACAACCTTCCCCACACAGACCGATACTCAATATTCAGCTAGGGAGCTACAATACCAACCCGGAAGAGGGTTTACTGTTGGAAGTAGTATTGATTTCGCGATTTTTAGTAAAGACAAGAGGGATAGTTCGTCTATTTCGAGAGAGGATCCAGCAGCTCAAGGATTTCACAAATGGAAATGAAGTGGTTGTAGAATATCTGCAGCAGGTGGCGACTTCCTATCTTCATGTAGTCGAAGTGAAAAGAAAGGACATTAAGGACAAATATGTCTCGGGAGGTCACGAAGAGGGATTTGGTATGAAAATAGACATCTTGGAATTGAGTACAGAGGAGCTCTAGCGGCAATTAGTACGGAGGAGGACTCGCTCTATTACTGCTCATGTATGAAGTGGGGGGGATTTGAAGAGAACAATGTTTCAGAAATTGGTCACTCATTCACTTGCGGACAGATCATATAAATTAAAATTCTCGCTATCTCCAATATCTTGAGTGGAATAACATTATCAACGTGCGAGTAGATGGAACAATTTTCTTCCTTCAACAAATACAAATCAGGAGGTAAGAAATACCCCCCGATTCACTTGCAACCGACCAATGTTTTCAAGTAGCTCAATTGATCCAAAACCACTAATCTTCTGAAGCAAACAAGACTGGCATATCTGTGGTAACAATCAACGCTGCGGGTTTGTTGACCTACGAACAGTATGACTCTTTTAGTTTAGACCTATCCTCCCCAGCCATTCAATTGGCCGACACTTCGCCTTCAGCCACGGTCTTTTTCATGCTCTTCCATTGCAAACCCAGGGCGCAAAACAATCCAACGCATCCAAGAGATGCCGTAATCAGGAAAGTTTTTCCTATAGCAGTACTGTATATCGGCACGACATTCTCCAGCTGTGAAGGAGAATAAATAATCGCCAGATGTGAAGCGCCGGTGTATGATAGACCGCGCACATCGAAACCAGGAATCACAGCAGCAATTCCCTTCGCCAATTCATTCCCAAATATTGTTTGAGCGGTAGCAACTGCAATAGATGACCACAGCATTTGAAACAAATTGGTAAGTGAAACCCCTAGTGGAATGTCCTCCGTGGAAAGGACCGTTTGAATAACAAGCACACATGGCGGAACTCCTGCCCCCGCACCAAGACCGTACAGAATTTGATATCCAACCCACTTTGAACTCGCTGTGTTGACATTGAAAGTCGACAGTAGCCCTCCGCCTATAGCCGAAAAAACAGCCCCAAAAATCATAGCTGGGTTGTAATACCCTATTCGTTGGGTTACTCCACCAGAGACCGCGCACATAACCACGAAAGCGATAATCATTGGGCAGATCATCACTCCGGAGCGCAGTGCTGATGCGTTCTTGACGGCCTGAAACCAGACGGGTAGATAGGTGATTTGAACAAACAAGCCGGAGGAAATAAAACCATTGACGAATGTAGCTAGTAGAACGTTCCTATTGCGTATGATGGACACGGGAAAAGAGCGTTGAGTGGGTACAAAGACCTGCAGTGCAACAAATCCACAAAAAACAAGCCCAGAGATAACGAACAGAATTATGACCCTCGCACTGCCCCAAGGATATTTGCTGCCACCAAGTTGAAGTGCTAGAATGAAGGAAACAAGAGAAGCACTCAGAATTAAAGTTCCAGGTATATCAAACCGCTTGGCTTTCTCTCCCCAATTCAACTGCTTGGTACCCTCATTCACAGAAATCCGTACGAAGAAACAGACTCCTGTAATTATAAGAGCCACCAGCGGAAGATTGACACCAAAACACCATCTCCATGTTACTCCGTCGGTTAATGCACCGCCGATGAAAGGTCCAGCAACGGATGCGAGACCCACGGAGCTGAAAATGAGCCCACTTAGCCCAGGACGTTTCTCAAGCGGGCAAGACGCCGCCAGTACAAGAACATTCCCCGAAAATATACCAGCAGCACCACATCCTGAGATAGCCCGGCTCACAACCAGCGTGATAGAGTTTTGAGCAAGAGTGCAGAGGAGAGATCCTACTCCAAAAACGAAAAGAGCACCGATGTAGACGAGCTTAATCGAGAAAAGACTATAGAGACGACCGTAGACGAGTTGAAGAGTGGCAGAGGTCAAGCTGGAAAAAGTGTTAGCGTTTGTCTGTATCATGCTAAGCTAAAAAAATGGGAAGTGTGGGATTCATTACAGTTATGCCGATGTCCACCATGCTATGTCGCCGAGAGCCTGGAAATCATTTGTTATCTTGGGTACTGCTGCAGCTAAAATAGTTTGATCCTCAGAAATTAGTTGATGTGCATTCCAACTTCCAAGGCGAAAGGAACAACACTTACCAGACCACACAAGAATCCTGCAACACATATTATAAGAACAATCAGTGCAAGCTTGAATGGGGTGGGGTATTCTATTTCAGGAACATCCGTTTGTTCTTGGTCGTTCTGAGCGATTGTTTTCTCTGGAGTGGCTGCTTCCTCCTTGTTCAAGTCTAGCATTTTCAATAGGAAGATTGAATTGCTAATATGAATAATATGAAGTAGGTAGTCGGAAATAACATTAAGGAGATTAAAGAGCGGCGAGGGTGTTTAAGCACAAGGATTGATGAACCCGTTGAACATCAAGACAACTCCATTATTTCCAGTGTTTCTGCGAGGCGGTCGATTGGGGGATCCTCCCCTGCTGAACGGCAGTTGCTGAAACCGAGACATGATCCTATCACCGACAGCCACCAACATACGCCTCCGGGTTATGCAAGTCAACGGCGATAACGGTGAATATGCCATGCAGGATCTACACCTCGGTGCATATCTATTATATGAAGAAGTTCCAGGACTACACGCATGGTGGATGAGTTCACCCGCCCAATTGAACCGGGAGAAGCAACTCTCATCTGTGAACTAATTGATAAGGGTAGAAACAATTGTAAATTTATAGATCCAACCATGACTGAATTGCACGGCAAGAAACCTCTTTCGGTAGAATTGGATTCCAATTTGTGGTATTTTGCTTATGGCTCCAACCTCAACAAAGCTGTGTTTGCAGGACGGCGAGGTATCAAGCCCAAAGACTCCGAGACTGCCATTCTTCCAGATTATGAACTTTGTTTCAATGTACTTTTCATGCCCTACACTGAACCTGCAATGGCTGGATTGCGAAAGAGGGTTGGTAGTATTTTGCCCGTTCACGGCGTAAACTACTTGCTTAGCAGAGAGGATTTCAGAAAGATTGTTTTAAGCGAGGGGTGAGACAAACTAATGACTTCTCCATGTTATAGATCAGTTGCTGATTTCTGCAATAGAAGTGGCGTCGCATATAAAGTGATTGAGGTTGTAGCAGTGAATCTTTCTGGGGGAAAACCACGTAGAGTCTATACCTTGATCACAAGACGAGATTTGCCCTTCGCAATTAGGAGATTTCCTTCAAAAGATATCTTGTAAACACCAGGCACACGTCTATACTTTGCTGCCTCACCACTAAAACATTGGGACAGGAGTTATTGCAAGAGGGTGCTTGTGAGCAAAAACTCCCTCATTTCTACCAAAAGCAGCTTCAAAAGCACTCCATGTTTCACAAATCACCATCGATGAGTTGGCAAATCGGAAGCTGGATATTTAATAAAACATGGCAACTGGTCTCACAGTGGGTTCAGAGAGGTACGCAAAAATATGTGGACAAAGATGGCAATATGCCTTATTGGTTTTTGCTCATTTTTGATGTTTTATTATGGACGATGTGGGCTCATCATGATTATATGCTGGCGCCCCTTTTTGGTAGAGGTGATGGAAGATGACGGTGTGTTGTGCGTGAAACTTTAGGAAGTTCTGATGTTGTACTCTTAGGCATATCTGTTGAATCTTCTCCTGGGGTTCAATTCTCCGTTCCAGGAAATAGGGACCCAACCATGTTCTTGAATTCCATATTCCAAAGTGACTTCACCTCGTCTTCCAGTACTGGTTCTGATGCCAGACGAGCTGCCGAATATTCTACCTCTTTGAGTACGCGAACAATGTTCCAACACAGAATAAGTTCAATATTCTCGTGGTCAATACCTCTTTGTAGCATACAAGCAACAAGATCCGGAAACTTCGAAACGTCTTCAAGGCCTTTCACTGATCTCTCCATTCCATCAAAATCAGAACCGATCCCGATATGATCAAACCCAATTTGATCGGCAACATGTAAGATGTGATCAACTACATCGCTGATACTGGCCGATGAAGGATCGCAGTTGTTATGAGCGGGTATGAAACTTATCATAATGATGCCACGATTCTCTTTCAATTGCTCTAGCGAAGCATCATTAGCACATCTCGGATGTGGAACAAGAGCGGCGCTGATAGAAATTTTAGTTTACTCCTTGTCATTCTCAGATATTTTAATCACCAAGAGGAATGTGTAAAAGCAACTGGCGCCTTTGTTATTTCCATCGTTTGAAGTGCAACCAAGTCACTAGCATGGGATAAGTCAATTAAACTAGATGTAGGAGCTCTGGTTAGCTCATGGAAACATGATTACTTTGATTTACTCACAGTCCAACGCGATTCATTTCCAAAATCATTCTTTTTCCTTCTTCAGATAGCCCATCATGCACAGACGTTTTAATCTATTGTTCTTTAGTTCTCTTTCATTGTGACTGTGCCGGACAACTCACAGCACAATCAGCGTACAAGTTGTGACTGTTGTGAGTCAGAGTGACATACTTAACACCAAGTCGATGGTAATTTCTCAAGTTGCTGGCCTGGTTTCCAATCTGGTGTAGACCTTCAACACCAATCATGCTCGCTATTTTGCCACGCTTGAAGATGTCAACGATATCGCTTGCTCGGCTTACAAGCTCCAGAGAGTGGCTGTAGAGTTCGACAAGCCGGTGGATCAGGTCGATCTGTTGGTACGTCTCACGAATTGCTTCGTGGTGATTCGCATCTCCAAAGTCATTTTCACGGGAAGGACTTGCATTGCTTTAACGTTCTGGCTTTTTTGGAGGATTTTTAACCCTTACCAATCAACATATGCGCTCCAGAAAACCCCTCCACATTTCCCTTTGCGGAGTCTTTTGATGTCCACATGCCCGGCAAGGTCTTTCTGTTCCTCAAATCGGTGATCTAGCCTATATTTAATTAGCTTGAAATTATATTATCCCAGAGAACTCGAGTACTTGTTGCTATAATAGCCGTACACAAAATTTGGCCAATCATTATGTCCATCTAAGCCAACAATCACTTCGATTTCTTCATAAGACAGGATGGGGTTTCTGACCGATGAGTGGAACTCGTTCTAGAATCTCATTGGCCTGAGTCAAATGGGTTTTAGGAGAGTCTGGCATCTTTTTTTGTATGATAGTTGAGGGTGGGTAGAGTTCAAAAGTTGGAGGAGGTTGCGGGTAAGCATACCTATGTATATATATATATATATAGCAAAGCCTGAGGAAGAACGTTTCACGTGCAAACCTTTCGAGTTTTCTTTCGTGGATTCCGTTTTCACTGGTGCGAATTTAGCTTCGTCATTCAGTTTAACCTATATTTCCCGTGTTCTACCTATTTGTGTTTACTCTTCCAGCCAAGCTGACGAAATTCTAATTTACAACGTATTTTGTTGTTTTTCATCCGTTGCCAACCACTTCCTCAAAATTTAGGGCACAATCAAGTAGAGCGATAGAAAATACTGTCGTGATGGATCAAATTTGACGATGGAATATGAAGCAAGGAGTGAAAAGTTGCGCAGGGGCAATCAGTAAACCCTCCTGCGGTCTATACACATTGCTTTGACTGTTATACCTATTCGTTTCTGCCAAGAATGCGGTTGATTTTGTATTTAGAAACCAGTTGCACTACCAAAACAGTTCGTGGCGATATGCCATCAAATGCATTAAGTTTGACTACTCTCTGCAAGCAAAGTTATAAATAAAACAAACGGCTCTGATCACCTCTCAGTTCGCGAGAGCTCTCCGCCCCCAGACCACATGCGTCCTATAGCTATTTCCATTAATTTCCAACTCTTGCCTTAAGTCAGATTTGAGCTTTGCAAAATCATCTGCAGAAAAGAAATACCCTGGGAGTTCTAGGCAAGAAGTTAATTCATGAAGAGATTACTAAGGATTTAACAAAGTACTTACGTCCAAGATTGACTTCCACGCCTTCCAGAGCTGCCAGCATAACTTCAATAGGTCGTTGGCCAATTTCCTTGGTCTCCGCAGCAGCACCTACCAAGACTTCCAGGACCACTTCTTGCAAGTTCTCAACTCCCACTACTTCCATCCATCCTGCGAGCTTTGGTCCTGGTGAAAGGTTGTACCCTAGAATTGCCCAAGATCTTCGCATAACATCACGGAAAAGTTCCATTGCTTCATGTCCCAGCCCTTCCTGTATCGTATCGAAATCTGCATCGTGTAACTGAATCCAGCCTCCTGGTTTGACACAACTATGGAGTTTTCCAATTACGTCGAGGCTCGACTCATCCGAACAGACGGGAAGAACAAATCGTTGATGTACCAAGTCGAAGGAGTCCTGGCAATCCTCTGGCCATGTGTCGAACATATTATGCGTAAAAAGATTGACATTTTTCGGTAAGTTTTCTTTGAAGTGCTGTGGTGCAATATCTGAACCGCATAGGACCGCTGATGGATGAGTAGAATGGGATAAATCTACAAGCCAGTATCCATCTGCTGTTGCCGAATCTAAAACGCGGAGACGGGGAATTGAAAGGTTGATGGGCGCTAGAACCAGTTTACCATGCATGATTTCTTTGAACATGTCATGTTGAGAAACAAGACGTCTATACTCGCCATCGTGCCGTGGACCTCTGTAGGTATCACTAAGATTGTTAGGAGGAGGTTCCAGAATGTTGCTCGTTTTCACAGTATCGGAAGCCATGATAGTGCAAAGCCTTGGAAATTGCGCAGAATATTAAAACCACGTATATTTAGGAAGTTTTATACCTAAAAAGCATATAACCCTTTACACAAAAGCTCGCCGATGGGTATCTACAACAAAGAATAAAGTAGAGACAGAAGTAACAGACGGCGAATAATCGGTCAGTATTTGGCGACTTCACCCCGTGAGATGCGTTTCGTTCAGTTGCTTTACATGAATCTCACACTTAAACTTCAACATGTCACTAGGAAGTAGTGAATATCAACTTCAGCAGATAAATTTTATTATTATTTAATAGTATGAGGTTGTGCTCATGATAATATAGAAACCTAATCATCGTGTTATTTATAGGGTCTTGATCATTATGCCGGTTTCTTCCCAGTAATCACCCAGAACCTCCAAGTATTCCCTGTCTTTGCCATTTCCTCGATGATACCGTTCTTGAGAGCCATGAAATCATTTGGGGTGTACCAGTAGTTAGGGTCTCCTATTGTGCGTCAGACTTTATCTACTGAGCATTTCTAACGTCAACTTACGAGAACCAATCGCAGCAAAATTGTCAATGATGGTGGTGAGGTTGACGGTCGTACCAGTCTGGTCTTCTGGCGTGGTCGCTTTGATTCCCACGTTAAAAGACATGACCTCTTCGTGAATATCAACAGCTCCAGCCTGACGCATCCACTCGGCAGCTGAAGGACCTGGACGCGGCTCTAGACCGTGCTCGGTGAAAGCCTTGATAAAGTAATCCATGGCCTTCACCATTGCCTCATGCCCTTCTCCTCCGTCGAAACCGCCAAGGTTGGCGTCAACAATTTGGAGATACCCTCCTGGCTTCACATTGCCGAAGAGACGCATGACAATGGCTGCGTCCTTCTCAGCACTGAATTGAGCCAAACAATACCTTTGATGTACCAGGTCGTATGCTTCGTGGTCTTCGGCTGGCCAGTCGTCGAGGACACTTTGGACCTTGAAGCTGATACATTTTGGGACATCTTTAAGTTGTTCGAAGTGCTTCTGGAAAATGTCGGTACCCACTAATTCAGCCTGGGGGTACTGCTTCGAAACGTCGACCATCCAAGTGCCATCGCCTGTCCCAGAGTCCAGAATTCGCAGAGGTCGTGTTGTGGAGAGAGGAACCTGAACCAGTTTTCCAGACATTGCAGTTTTGTGAAGCTCATGCTGCAAACGGAGGCGCTCATATTCGGTTTCTTGGCGGAGAGCCATTCCCTTCAAGAAGTCGCCATAGGCAGGATCGAGTTGAGCTGAGCCGGTGGAAGAGGTCATTTTTCAAGAGCTATATTGGTGCAGTAAAAAATATCGAGAAGATGTGGTCTAGAGAATCGGTACTGCAGAGAAGTCCAGAGTTCAAACATTACGGTGTGGCACTGGTTTGGTTTTGCTTGCTGATGCCCCCTCTCATGCCTCTTATTTTGGAAGCCCGGTAAAATCGCCGCTTACCCGCCGAAACATATAACGCCAATGATGAGACTTCAAAATTGTAATGAGAACAATTCTTTTACGAACGTTCTCTGATCATCAGCGCAATGCATACTATAGCCTTCTTAATTATCCCGGCTCTCGCTTTCCTCTTCAGCCGAATAAGAGGTAGGCGTCCAACATATCCACATATTCCAAAACTCTCCAAAGGAGTGTGGTCAAAATGGACTGGTTGGGAGCCCTTGGCTCTATTCAGGCTTCAAGAATATGAGAGTGAAGGCTACAGAAAGGTATACTGCGAAAACAACCCGATGTGGTATGCTCAACTACTAATCACTAGAAACAGTACAGCAAAACAGGCCAACCTTTCGTAGTAAAGCTGTTCGGTATCGATGCAATAATTATGCCACCGAAATACTTGCCCTTACTTTCCAAATTTGATCGCCATACGCTCAGTTTTGCACAGCATCTCAACGATGTACGTTACTTCAAGTTTGTCCTAGTTTGTAACATCACATATTGATATCGTGAGTAGAATATGTCAATGGAGGCGACTGTTGGCGACATTGCAATTGCAAATGACATGGAAATCGATCTCATCTCGAAACACATCAACCCTAATATCTGTATATTTGAAAGTATCCCAAAAGACAAAGCGGACACTTACTCTTATTTTGCAGCTGCAATCACCGAACTTCTTGCTGCGGAAGCAGACTTTAAATTTCAAGAATTGCTGGGAGATTTTAACGGTTCGTGATTACATTTAACCTAATTTTCCTGGCTCAATGGCTCTCTACAAAAATTTACACCAATAAATGTTAATTCGTGTAGAGTTTCAGCATTATAATTCTTACCAGCTATGTACGAATCTAATACATGGAATATCCAGCCGGATAATAGTAGGCCACAACCTTTGCAGAGACCCACAATACAAAAGAAGCTTCGAGATTTACTCCAAGACTGTGTTCATTAGCGGGGTGATGTGGAATATGTTGCCTCTCGGGGATTTTCGAAAGACTTTTTATCGTCTCGCTTCTTTCAAATTCCGAAGAGACCTCGACCGCGCCACAGATTACATTATCCCCACAATCAGAAAGAGAATGGCTGACAAAACCACATCTCGTGAAGCAAAGCCTATTGATGTGATACAGTTCGCGGTTGATCAAAAAGTGGCATGTCCCGAAGAGAGCAATGCAAAACGCCACGCACAGCGAATATCACAACTCGCATTTGCTGGGAATGGCACTTCTATAAGTCTGGTGTACAACTTGCTATGGGAGATTTTGTTACATCCCGAGCTTCTGGACCCATTACGAAAAGAGATCGCCGAGTCTTTGCGAAAATTCGGAGGTTGGAACAATAAGAAAATGCTTAGATCACTTGTGCTATTAGATAGCTTTCTACGAGAAACACTCCGGCACCATCCAGCGGCTTGCTTCTCTGGACAACTGACAGCAATGGACACATTGGATTTTCCTGATGGGATCTCACTGCAACCTCCAACATCATTAACCATAGGGGGTTAATTCGCTAAGCGAGGGTTGTGTTGAAGGTTGGTCAAAATGGCCTCGAGGTCAAGTGGTCATGGATTACTAAGATGAGTACAGTGGAATCTTGACTATAAAATCGTATGTTTGATGTAAAAATATGTACAATGAATATCTGAGCCTCAACGCAGGCGGCGTTCAGGTGGACTGTTCCGTATCTCTGACCACAGTTCTGATGACGAATCGCTCAGCATGCATCTCGATCTCTTCACACCAGACACTCCAGACAGTTTGTGGTACTGCGAGATGATAGTGAATATTCGAAAAGTGCCCAACCCCATCGCTAGACATTCCAACAGTTTGACCTGCTGAATCTTTAAGATGGCACAGTGTCAATTCCCCGAGTTTTGAATTCGCTTGATCGACTGTATACTTTGTGATTTTCTTGTCGATGCGTGCTACTTATTATGAGTAACTGTCATTTTTCTTGTCAAAGAGTACTTACGGAGTATAGTGGCACAATCTTTACCAAGTGACCGTACTACGGTCTTTTCTGGTAGCTCCTTTTCATCCTCATAGTGAACTGTAACTGCAGTCATACTTTCGTCTGAGCATGCGCTTCGAAGTAGCAACGATTTGGTGTCGCGTCTGTCCAGGGCAGCTGGTGCACATATTGCCGTGTGCAGTAATCCAGCAATTGAAAGGAATTTGAGGACGAGCAATCTCATCTTAGCGAATTGATTTTGACTCGATGTGCGATGCGATATACAACAATTGTACTTTACAACAAGACTCGGACTTTCATTTTCGATAGATGTTAAGAACTTTTATTGCGCTATATATTGTTTCAGCAGATTTCAGGAGTCGACGTTGTATGCCGCACAAGGATCGATCCTGTCTAAATCCGAAATGTGTTTACAACTTCGATAGAGTGAAATTCCTCCAGATTGGTATTGTGATAGGGTCAAGCCACAACATGGAAATCGTAATAATCTCCGGTTAGCACTTTATCGAGAAAAAGTTAATGTGCATCCACATCTTTCCGACATATTTGGTCATGCACGCTTGTAAAATAATGTGGTGACATAGTCACAGGTCGGAAGCGAGGGATTAGGATTCTCCTTTGGATCCTCCTTCCATCGACAACCGTCTTTACGAAAAACTTCGTTCAGTTGACGTGAGTCATCCTGCTGGGTTTATGGCGGCAATTTTCTCGATTGGTACATAATTAATTACATTGCACTTGATCAAGGTGTTTTCCTATGATCTTCATCAAACCTCCTGTGCCACTAAACGAATAGCTTTTTGTGCGCATAACATGTATAACACAAAGTGATTCGATTTGGTGTTTCTCTTAATCGTAGATGTAGTAGGGTCCAAGAAGATTACTACATACCGATCCTAAAATTTGAATAATTGGTAGCTAGTTGTTAACACTCACAAGGTCGGTTTTGTTCCTAGTAGTAAATTCAAATATGAATCGAAACATTTTCCTAGATTCCTCCCAGTGCAGCCGAGCTCTTGAAATTTTAGTCATTTCGGTAGCTTTACCCAAGTCAGCACATTTCTAGTTGCACTGTTCGTGAATTAGCAACAGGCGAACAGTTCGTCTATATTACATTTCGATACTTATCGTTCCAACGAAAATGGTGGCTGTTTCTGGCCTATTAACTATTTCTCAGTTATGATTCTTTAGTTGTCGACAATTATAAAAATATAGTGCCGACTAAATTCTTCTACCAACTACATCTTATCCCTTACATAATCTTTTGGAAAGAGCAACCTACTCTAATGTCTATTAGCTATTAACCTACCACTTTTACTCACTAATATGCTTATTTTTACTCTATTAGTATCTTTTATATGCCTCGGTTTCGGCATCGCGAATCCCTCGTCGTACAAGTCCACTGTTGAACAGCGGCAAATGCCTTCAGAGCCTGTTACTCATGAAGTAGAGGAATCTGATATTCAAAATGGAATGTACATTGGTCCAATGGGGGGTCCACCGTTCCCTTCAATGGAAGGGGTTTTGCCCAGCACTTATCTTGATCCTGCTTGTAACGGAGCGGAGGCATCCATAGTCAGCGAAGCCTGGGAAGGCGCAAAGTTAATAGTAGAAGCACAAACTACTATTGTTAGCGACTATGACTATAACCTTCCACATAAAACCTGGTTAGGGGATGGTTTGAACGCAAGTGGTAAACCTGTCGTCGAATATCGGTCAAAATCTATTGCTGACAACTTCAAAAAATTAGCAAGGCTGTACGGAGGGGGGATAGATGATAAGGAAATTATCGTTTGGCGATGTACGGAAGGGTTGAAAGACGAACCGATGTGCAGCCAGCAGATGGGTGCTGGTGTTTTAGCCCTAGCTCTGTCCGCCGAGTATTCAGGGCGCAATGGACACGGTAATCGCGTACATGTAACTATGTTCTGCCCTCTGTTTTTTCAATAAGAGACATTAGGAGAACAGATTGATAGGTTAAAGGACGATAAGGAGGGACAGTTAAGAATGGCCAGTTTCCCAGTAAGCACCGCGCACGCTTTGTTACACGAGACGTGGCACTACCGCATAGTCTCTCAACCACGCACAGCGGACTATGCGACTGGTGTAGAGACTACCTACAATTTGGCTAGAAGAGAAGGAACAAGGGTAGCGTTTACGAATGCAGATTCATACACTTACGATGGTCTGGCTATCTATCTCCAACAGACTTTCAAATCTCGATTGCCGCCAACCACCAAAGATCACTTGGACACTCTTATGGGGCTCGACGGAAAAAGGCCTGGTGGAAAAATGCCGAGTGGAAAAAGGCGGGAAGCTGTATATTTGAACAAGCCAGGGATGTTGGGAGTGTAGCTGGGCTCTGGGTAGAGAGTATTAATATATCCCAGCAGTGAAGGCGCTGTGTGACCTGTCCTGGTCGAACGAACTCCAAGGATTCGAGGTTGGTACTGTACTAGAAACATCCAATATAAGATGTTCAGGGAAACATAAAGAGTCTTGACTTAAGACTTCTCATTCATATCTTGTTAGTTACTGGCTATAAGTTTAAGATGCTCTTAATTTTGTATTTGGTATGGAACTGCGAGTTTTCTTAAGTTGGATAGTACAAGCTTTAATGGATACACCATGTTACTTGGCGGTTCAAAATGGTAGGTGTGTAACAAAATTTTATGAAGAAAGTCGTAGAGCTAAAACCCTTTCAAAATACTGTTCCGATTGCTGGAAAATAGTGAGGAGCTTTACTTCTGTGTCCTACATAGCATCTGTGGAATCCACAGATTTGCAATTGTCCTTTCGCAAGTGTGCGTGCTAGATCTCCAGTAGACTTTTCGTTCGGTTTGTCCAGGCCAGAGCTGACAGACAAGCGAGGTTGATACAGAACAAAACTCCGCGGCAGAGACTCGGTTATACAGCAGTAACTATACCAAAAATGACAATAGACCTGTGTTATCTAGATATGCGCATTACAATTTCTCAACATTCCAAAGATATGATCACGTGTTGACCCATATTTGTGCGCATCAAGGCGCTGAGACTTTCTTCATCTGGTCGGCCATCAACAATGGAAAATCAGCCATTTTTCTGTCCGCAAGCAATCTTGCTTCCCCAGATATCTCGAAGAAGTTGAGTTTGTCGATACAATCTGGACCGGGGTATTGCATAGATAGTATTTGCAGAAAAGACCTTCTCGTAATTCATCGATGTGTACCGCTTCATAATCCATACGGCTATCATGATAGCGACAGATTATTTGTACAATTTGACCTCTTCGATAGATGATTTCTCAGTATGGTAAGCAAAACTCTTTATCACTTACTATCCTAGGTGAGAACCAGCAGCTGATTGTAGAAATTTAACAGAGAATAACATACCAAAGTTGAATCTCGCTGGACTAGTGACGGGCAGCGATGGTGATCACCTTCACCTTCAACTTGGATTATTGTAGGAAAGCCAGTTTTTGGGAAAGGAAGACACAATCAAGACTAGTCGTTAAACGTATACGCTCAAAAGCTCCTGAATTTTTTTTGCACAACACGACGACGTTCAGACACATCCACCAAGCATCCTCAGTGCGCACAATCCAAGCCATCGCAAGATCCTCCGCAGATCTAGTACTTGATCACACTCTGAAAACCATGACTTCACCACAAGAATCGAGTTCTAGCTCTACGAAGTCACCTGTCTTAGATCGAAAGTCAGTCTCAGCACCACTCACACCACACATCGATACTTCAAACTCATCCACCACCTCCTCAACAGCTGTTCTGTCACAGGAATGCCGGCCAAAAGATAGCAGCTCAGCTGAAGTTCACAATACCTCTCCTCCTATCACACAACTATCATTCTCCAGCCGCTCAGATCTCACCATCACCGCCCCTGACACCCCACCACCAAGCTTCGATCATCGTACCCTTAGGCCCTTGACAGAAGTGCTAGCCTCAGAAACAGGTGGACTGGGACTCTTCGCAAAGCGAGACATACCTGCAGGATCAATCATTCTCTACGAACCGCCATTGCTGGTTATCCCATCTACCATCAATGTCGCTCTAACTCCTCACATGGAGCGCGAGAAAAAGGAGCGAGATTTCAAAGACGAAGTTCCGAACGAACTGCTTGAATTGATCCAAGGAATGGAAGAAGAGAAGCGCAAGGAATTTTACGGCCTTTGCGCGCATAAACGTGATGAGAGGGAAAGTATTGACTTGGCTATTATATGGACGAATGGATTTGAGATTCTCGATGGCAAAGGGACGGGAATATTTGATATCTTGAGCAGGATTAACCATTCTTGCGTTCCTAACTCGAGGGTTGTTTGGTGTGATGCGAAGGATGAGGAGCTACCGGCCAAGCAAGATGGAGGAGATGATGAGATCCAGATACAGGAACTTATGGAAGGAAACGGAAAAGAAGAAGGTAGAATGATGGTATATAACTCGTTCCCTCTAATGGAAGGAGAAGAGATCACGATCGACTACGGCCATGGAGTTGGATGGTTGAAAAAGTGGTATGGATTTGAATGTGCCTGTGGTTGTTGCACTGATGGAAGCGATTCTTCTTCTTGCTTAGATGAAGAGCTGTTTCCTGATGCGGAAGATGAGTAAGATATGGAGGCTAACAAGAATAGATGAGCACAGAGGTTAGAAGGCCAGATAGACAAGTAAGAATAAAAGTTTGATCATCATGGCATATATTAAGAATATGTTATATCTGGTTCGACCCTGGTTTAGGTTGCACTTGAGAATTGAACATTCTCGTTTCCAACCACGCTCTTTTCGAAAATTAGTAATTGTGCATATCAAAGTTCTTAGATTAAAACTTACAGTCAACACATTTCCGATACCGGCAATGTCGCCACTGGCATTGTCACCCATAACATTTGCATAGTTGGTTGCCATTAACTGAACACCTGAGACGAAACCCTTGCCATCGAATCCGCAGTGTCCTCCTCCATTAGGTGTGTTATCGACAGTCTGTAACGTACCAATGGTAGCAGCATCAAGTCCTGCACCCGTGGCCAATTTTTCGTATGCTGCGACAGCCTGTGGAATCGCATCCTGGAGGAGCGCAAGTTCGTCTTGGGTAGACTGGAAATGGATCTTGGTATTCGCAATCATTGTTGCAGCATCGACTACGGGAACTTGTGGTGACAAGGCTCCGCAGTTGAGCTCAACACCTGTCTGATACTGAGCACCGAACGCAGGCACGAAAAATCCGGAAAGCATAAGAGAGCCACCCGATACTCCGGTAAAGAAGACATTGGCTGGGTCAAAAGCAACATCCTGAGAAAGCTGCTGTTGAATCAAGGTATTGACAGCAGCTGAATGTGCAACTCCATCTGTTCTATCAAGTCCGGAGCCACCACCCCAGAATAGGTTTGGATCTGGAGCCAAGACAACAACTCCCATAAGATTGTTCTGAACGTCCTGATTTGGGAAATCGAAGAATGATTGACCGCCATCGCCATGTAAAAGGACGTTCAGCCCAGCAGTACCGTTAGCACCGGCCGTTGCCGCAGCTCCAGTGACGCCAGATTCCGCCGTGAACTGATCAGCTGGTGCACTAATCTTGTATCGGATCTCCAGACCACTGCACGGGTTAGATGAGTTTGCAGTTCATGCTCAGGTTTGGCTTACTTTATAGTGACCGTCTTGTCAAGAATTGTAGATCCATCCGTAGCGAGAGATATTCCTCCCGCGGCAGCGGCACCAGTAGCTGCTCCTGCTGCGGCCCCTTTTGCAGCGCCATTGCCTTTTGCAGCTCCTGTATTTCCGGTTGCTGCATTATTGCCATTGCCTTTTCTCTTAGGAAAAGCATCTGATGGGACAGCAAGAAGCAAGAAAACGAAGAACGAGAGGAAGCCGGTCCAGTTGTTGTTGAACATTGCCATGATGAAGAAAAACGTCCAGCGTTAACGAAAGAAAGTAATAATGATGAATATAAAATATAAACACGAAAAGCAACCTCACCAAGAATGAACAACAACGAAAGCAGAAAAGATGAAGAGGAGAAAATACAAGCAAGACTATATTCAAACGCCAACCTATGATCTGAGCCTAGGTTTGAACGCCAAACTGCCAAGTCTGTTTCTTGAAGAGCCCCATCCGGGGAGTGTTGCAGGTTCACATCTAGCGAAGTTTGACTTGGCAAGCTGGGATGAACCTCTTAAATGCTTTAGAACTCGACAAGCTTCGCTGAACTAGGCTCAAAATGGGATACATTCTAGATCAATGGTACATTCTGAGGATCGCATTGAAGATCTTATGTTTTGGTCTCTTTGCTCTGTGGCGTGGTGTCTGTGGTTGTTGTGGGGAAGTACGTGAAGAGGATTCGAGCAGACGAGGAGGTCTGGTCGAGACCCACCTGTGTGACAGAATCTACATGATGACAACCCAGAGAAAGGTTAAAATGATGTTGAGACCGGATGATTGAATATCATAATTGTCATTGCGTAACGACATCTGGGATGACAAAACGAAGCGGCGTGTAGTGGGTATTTGGAAGAAGAATCTCAGAGGTGACCTCAATGGGTGTCGGTGCACGGACCAACATGGACTGTTTGAACAGAAAGACGCAAAGGACGTAAATTTCTCTAGAGCTTGACTTCAACCTTGATTCATTCCCTGAATTGCGCTAAACATCGTCTTTCATGGTAGAAATAGTGGCAGATGTACAAGCGATTGATTTTTACAAACCTGTTGGGAAACTAGTGTCAATTCCATACCACCTTCGGTAATGGGACTTGAGCAAAATGTGAGCTACAGTATATGGCTATTTAAATCCACCAAGACGGGAAGGTTAACTGATTTTTGCAGAGTCTGTGGGTTTTGGAAATCGACGGCAGCAGGCTGTATACCCGAATGTGCTAAGGTAACGTGCTTTGGGCAGAAGTCTTTAGATATCTTTCTCAAGCAAACACGAGCTTCAGTGAAGATAGACTCAAAGCTAGACTCAATAGACTACCGGGTATATAGTGTTCATGGATGTGAAAGAGGCTCTCTATATGTTATTTTAGCGATAGCTCTTCTAGTATCTACTCAAAATCTAGTCTACTTATCAGCAACACCCTTACTCTCCCATCCCCTTCCCAGTAAAGTTTAAGTACAACATACACATAACAAGCCCTCTCACCCACTTCCCTCCCCAAACCTACGGCAAAAGAGGCCAAACCCTCAACAACCTCTTCGAAACCCTCACAAACTTCTTCGGATCAATACCATGTCTCTCCGCAACCTCCACAAGCCTAGCCCATTAAATTAGCCTTCTTCATTCAAATCCACGCCACACCCTCCATTCAAAGAAAGTCAACTTACTTCCTCTCCCTCCCCGGATTAACAACCTCCCTAACACCCTTTTCCCCCCTCCTCCCAAACCACAACCCAACAACCGCATAAAACGCACATCTCAACGTAAACTTACCGACCATATACCCCCAAACCAGCACACCAAACCTCACCTCATCTCCTCCCTTCCCCCCATCAACCACCTCAACCCCCGTCCCCTCCCCCCTCACACCACAAAAGTCCACACCCGTAACCCCATCCAACCTCCCTCTAAGCAAACAGAACAGTACATCACTCCTCTCACTCGTTTTCATGATCAACGTCTTCGCGTCTCGTACTTCCTGGAGTTCTTCGATGAGGCGCGGGCGATACCATGTTGGGTGTTGGGGTTTAAGGGCTAGGGCGTGGTGCCAGTGTTTTAGGAGGGTGTTGAGGAACCGGTTGGGTGGTTTGAGGTGCATGATTGGTGATGGAGAGTGTAAAGTGGTGAGTGTTGTGGGTTGTCGGGATTGGATGGAGAGGGGTACTGTTTGTTTGTATAGTGATAAGGGCGGTTGCTTTTGAGGTATGCTCTGTGCTGTATCCAGATGCTGCTTTTAGAAAGCTGGCCGACATCTCTAATGTACATGTCCTACGACGCGATTCTCCACGCGCCTGTTGAAAATTTTCCCGCTACACTTAATTCACCATTCCAGGGATAAAAGTCAATGTGCCCAGTAATTCTGCCATGCCCCTAGGTTATAAATCTCGATTGACAGGACAAGGGTCTCATTGAGATAAGTCATTATAGATGAAGAACAAAGAGTGATCAAAATAGTTTGCAATAGCCTACAGCCCTTTTGAAGAAGTTAGCCTGCTTATAATACATCCTTCCCGGTAAATTCCAATGATTGCAAGCCCAACTCCCAGGATTTGGTCGACCTCGACAACAAACCAGGGTTATTGACCCATTATGCATTTTGGTTTCTTCAACCACTACCATTTTTCTTCTCCCAGACCGTCCAGAACCACCAACTATCCTACTTCCCCAAAACCGTTCGCACCACTCGTCTAGCTGGAGAATTTTCTGGTAACCTTGGCAATGACTGAAAAACAAATTAGCTATTTTCCAATCCATGAAGCTTGGATTGCAATTGAATGAACGCATATCCAGAAAAGTAACTTACTATGCAATGCTACAACACTGAAGATGAAGACAATAGAAAGAACAAGAACAACAACTGGGTCAACCTTCAATCCTGGAGACTCGTCGGTGTAGAGTTCTATTCGCGCATGTTAGCCAGAAGCTCTCACAATTTCTCTATCACTTTTTATTCGCAGTGCAATTTCCAATTCGCCTTCGCTGGGACATGCTAAATCCACCCTAGAGATTGCGTGTCCTGCCAGACAACCCGTCCCTCGATGTGTTGACTGGGAAGAACATACTCAACATAGTGCTGCTGCTTCCTCCAGCGCCAGCCGCTCTGGTAGAGCTTGGTCGCGCATTTGCAACCTTGTCCTTCTGATCTGCCGCAGCTCGTCTTCGGATCGCAGTCTTAGGTCCACCTGGTGGTGTAGGAGATGAAGGACGGCCGCTCGAGGAACCCACTGCTGGGGAGTTTACGGGGGAAGAAGCGCGTGGTGAAGACTATGCAGACAGGAGAGTTAGCAAAGGTGATCTCTCAGAATTTTGGCGAAGCTGGTCGATATAACCCTCCCAAAGACTGGATGTGATGGGACATGACGAGGGTCGGTTCATTGTACATGCGCCAGCTCGACGCGGAGAATTGACAGACATACCATGATGCTGGCTTTGAGTCAGGAAACTATATTCTCTGCTTGATTGAATTGACTATAGTTGATTGCAGGTGGGCCGGTTGTGGAAGGTCTCGACTAGAGTGGTGGTTGCGATTTGAATTATGAATTGAGGACACGATTGAAAGGAGTATCGGTTGTGCAGGGGTCATTTACGGTGGGGCCACGCTTGACGGAACCGAATCACAGCGCGCTACCTAGGTACTCCCAGCACTAGAAGCAATAACACATGGAAATTTAACGTTCACTTTATATCGTCTCCTGAATATTTAATTTCTTAATTCCAATTTACAAATAGACAGTTGATGTAACACATCATAGCTGTCATTCTCGCCACTCGCTATTTTTCGCAACCTCGTAAGCTTTGCTACAAGGAAGTTCAGCACACATGCGCCGACTAGAATTTGAAGAGAAGAAGAACAAATGAAAAGGGTGGGGTGTATTTGCTAGCGTCCTCTGTTTCCATATCGGCTCCTCAAGTCTCTAACAAGAAAATAAGAAGAATGTGCACCAAAGCTGCTCGCTCTGATGGCTGTTTTTACGGCCGAATAGCCATGGTAATTCCTGCCCACAAGTCCCCCCCTAGCTCAAAGGTCTCTTTCCATTTTGAATAACCGCTCAAAGGCCCGTCTCATTTTCAAAAAGACTAAGCTGGCCCCATGTGGAAGCCCATTATATAAATTAGACAGTACATTCTACAATGAAACCAAAGGTATCAACCCAACGCCGTTCCGCTATGATAGCAAGTATGATTTGCATCACGTATGAATTGCTTTATAGGGCGACATCAAGAACAAGGCTAACGTCTCGGACCTGCGAGCCGGCTAAATCTTCGAGGACTGGAATTAGGTCGAGGAGCTCGTTGTCGTGAGCATCAGAAAACCAACTGCTGATGGGTACAGCATGTTGTGGATGGAAAATATAAGACGTTGGAGAGTTATCGATGATGATAGTTTCCCGAAGATCGCGACCAACCTGGGACAAATCCTTGACGTAATTCCCTTGGTGGTTGTAACAACTCTCTCTGAATAGGCGGTGGTGTACCACGTTGTGAATATCCAATTGATCTAAAAGAGGATCGCCATACTATTGAGGTCAGTTGGTGTTTGAAAATTATACTTCATCACTTCTTACCTTTGAAACAGAAGCTGTGAAAACGACCACTTCATAAAGCTCCCCGACCCGCTTCATGAATTGATCCACACCAGGTCGTTTTATCACATAAACGTTGTGATATTGACCTTCGATCTCGACAGGAATTGTGAAATCAGCTTGGTGAAGGATCTAAGGATAATTAGCATTAGAGGTGCGAGATAGCCGAGATTCCAAATACCTTGAAACTACTGTGCACTAATGTCTCGTCAAGATCTAGGACTAGACACTTCTTCCCTTGAAATCTCGGAGCGATTGGCGGAAGAAGCCATTGCTGCTTCTGTTCCGTCGCATCCGGGGCCGACTCGTCACTTGAAGGAGGCTGCTGCGGAACAGGAGGCGGGGGAGGAAGCGCTTGTTGTTGTTTGGTAGATTCGCTTCTTTTTGGGATAGGAATAGCTGTCTCCTCCTTATCATTCTGTGCTTGCTCAGAATCGCCCATCTTCACGTCTCCTTCTGGGTCCTTCTCATCTCCGGAAGCATCTGATGTAATTTGGGGCCTGGCTGGCTGAACTGCGATCCCAGTGGCAGAAGTCTCATTAGTGGGTTCTGGATGCGATGATCCCAATGCTGGCCCTCTTGAAGACTCCGTCTCTTGTGGCAGGTCTGGCAATGGTTGATCACGTGTCGCTGATTGATTCGGGTTACTGTTCACAGCGGGAATAGGCAGCGCGACAGATGCATCTCTAGCCGGTTCGGCAATCTTGACCCCATTGCCTTCTATCCTGGGCTCTTCCCTTTTAAGTGCTTCCTTTTCGGTCTCAGTTTGCGCCGCAGAATTGTGTTGCTGGTTTGCAGTTGGCTGTTCAGGTCTGCTTGCTGTCGTAGGACGACCTGAAGGTACCTTCGTAATCTTATTTGCGGCAAGAGGCCCGCTTGCATCCACCGTGTTTGCGTCTTGTGGTGCCGTGCAGCAGCTTAGAAACGAAAAGATACCGTTTTTCTTTTTTGGTTGGCGATTAATCGTGGCATTGGAGTTTGATGTGTTGTTTCCGGTTGGACCAGTAGAAGGATCCTGCGTTGTTGACATTTTGCTACTGCTCGTACTCCCATGCCGCCTCCGACCACTTCGATTTGAGCTCTTGGATCGCCCCCCAATGCTTTCTTCAGGATCGGTCGCAGTCACTCCGCTAAGCCCCGTAGATGTTGGGGATGGTTGTATCTTATGGGATGATGATCTTGATGGGACGTGAAGCAGGCCGCGATTCTTCTTGGGAACCTCTGGTGCCTCGTCGGCGACTCGTAGATAGTCTTTCTCGTTCTGCGAATCGGCTAACACTGGCGTCTCGGAGTATTCGGTGCTGGTTGTGCCTTGCGCAGTAGTTTGGGTCGAGGAGCTTGGAGGCTGCGGCGTGTTGGTAACTATGACTTCTTATCAGCTTGACGACCTCATCGATGTCGCATGGCGACGTGAATAAATGGCTTCCATTCAGAAAGCGACTGGAATGTTTGGGGCGTGTGTAGGAACGGATACATACACCCAGAGGTATCCAAGGCAGGAGGCTTGCTCTTCGTGCCTTCCGTTGACGTTGATCGGTTCAGGGTCTGTTCGGTCGGCTGGACAATCTCATTACTCATAGAGGGCAATGCGTGACCGCTCGAGGCCTAACGGGTGGGTTGGATCTGAGATGTGGGCTGGGCTTTAGCTTTTCAATCTGCCTCTCGAACCACCTTCGCGATGCACGCGTCGATGATAGCGATTCTGGGGAGCTGGTGAAGAGACGTCGAGGCGGGTGGATCTCGTCGCGGTATCGGAATGCCAATTCGAGGCCTACACTAGTCGCGCACACAATTGAGGCGATGCGACAATTGATGCAGCGCAGTTATGGACGCTTCGAGCTTGAATGAACGAGTTCACAGCTCTGTGGGTGAAGAAGTTGCTCGAGAGAGGCTAGAGGATCAGATGCAGAGGTTCTGGCAGAGGCAGTCGGATGGGGGTCCTAGTGCACTCTTAGCGAGATTTGGCAATAATAAGATTGGCCCCGGCACGGCAGCCCAGATCTCGCCGTCGACGGTCGTCGAGCAAATAATGCAGTTGATGGAGAGAGTTGACGGTGATTATTACGCAGCAAATGCAATGATGGTGTTTGGAGAGTAGTGGTACAGTGGCGAAAATGCTTCAAGCGTGGTCTACAAGACGGTTGGAGGCGAAGGATGATGGGACGGTCCTCGGCCGGGAAAGCAGCAGGCCAGGTCAATTATGGAGAAGGGAACGAGCAGATGGGGAGCAAAGGGGGGGGCAGATGGATGGTTCGCTTGGGATACTTCATCATGCATCCAAAAGCGCTGGACGGTACTCTAGACTCATGTTGTCTCTACAAAGGGACTCCGCTATGCGCGGTTTGCCCCATACATGACATTTCTGCGCATTGAACAGAGCAGGCTCGCGCTGGCCCATACAACATTGGACCAACATCCTGCATTTCTCATTGGCTTCATTCGTCCATTTGGAGCAGAGCTAGAGTGTGATCTTGACCAGCCACGCCCCATGAAGCTGCTTTGGGGGCAAGTCATTTAGGCGCCGTGTTTCTGTACATTCGGAATCCATCCTATCACAGAGCACCTCGTCTCCTTTCGACCTCCTCCGCCCAGCATCGCGCGAGGACAAGCCAAAAGTCATGTCTCTATTGCTACTACCTACCGTGAACAACCTGTGGTTGAAAGATGCCGCCGTGCTTCCTCAGAACAACAACAGAGAAGCGGACAACCAGAAGCATATCACTACCTTATGTCTGAAGTTGCCCCGGCTCGCCAATTCTATCATAGCTCACGAGTCGTCTCCGGACAAGAATCGAGTGCTGAATGAACGTTAGAGCAAGCAAGCCATCCAACGGTGCGTACATGACCGTTACAGACTACTTTTTCTTTTCAAAAGCAAGTAGTCTGTCCTTACCGCCCCCATCTGTGACCAACTCCCCGTTTCTCGGGCAAAGGTGTCTTGATATGGAGCGGCAGGACCTGCATTTTGGCCGTGTGCTCACTGCTCACGTTGGATCATTGCGGTTGAAGAGGGCGGACCAAAGTGCGTATAAATAGCGCTCTCCAGCTTGTTCGTACCTGAAATGCTCAAGCTGGAGGAGCGAGGCAAATTCTCCGGAACATGTTGACTTTCAGACAAAAGTCCGTAGGAATTAGAGGCATTGTGATCCGTACCGCTACATCCCCGCCGTGGCGGCTACCGACAGCATCCATCGGCTCACCGCTGCTGAGCACAACTCAGGGTCAGAAGCCACCAGCTCGTCGGCTGTAGTTGCATTCATCTTCTCCTGGACTTGTAAACGACCGCGCTTAGACAGCAGATCTTGATTGAAGAGGTGAGCGAATATGAAACACAGTCAGGAAGTTGAGTGTTGCGCGCGTCTACTGTACGCCGTCCATTGAAGTGCTCCCATCAACTCCTTGCATCAGCGGTTGCAGATGTGGTCTGCGGCGTGCTACCGGCATGCTTGTGGAAAGACATATCGGATAAACCCACGTGCAAGTACATCGGTTCAGCCTGGACTCTGGAGAGCTGCAGATGTAAATTGACAGATATGAAAAAGGCACGCCATGAACAATCAAGCAGTAGACAACACAGAGGGCTTTCAGACTCGAGACTCGACGCCACGCAAGAAGGTTGAAAGACAGGATCGAAGGTAATGCAAACTGCTTCGTGTCAGGACTTCGAAGTACCTGCTAGGCAAGTAGACTAATTATTTAGTGCGACTTTGTATCATGAAATCGGTCAAGAATCTGGTTGCTTTATTTAGAAGCTCGAACGGCCCGTACCTTTCTTTGGCCGTGCTCACGCTCGTGGAGGACAAAATAAGTGGTAGTCGAAACACAACATTTCTTTATTTAAGTTGACGAAATCGTATCTTTAGTGGATCAACTTAGAAGGTTATCACTATTTCGGCAATTGTTTTAAGTAAATAAGATTTTTTATTCTCTATTCGAAGTCGACTTATTATTCAGTTCAAGTTTAGTGAGTAGGTGACTGACACTTATTTTGTCCCCCGCGAGGCTGGCTGCTGGGCAAACTCTGGGGAAGTGTGGAGAAGCACGCCTCAGGCAGTAGTAACAAGCCTCGGTATGCGACATGCACATGCCTCCATTGAGAGTTGATCAAGCATCACATGTGCTTCACAGAAACAAATTCGATTTCGACAATTGCATTGCGTCCGAGTCTTGCTTCCAACTCCTATACCAGATATCAAGACGAAGTAATATGTAGAACAAGCATATTTGAATTGCGCACCCTCCTTACCAAACGCCGCCCTGGCAAGCTCCGCTCGCTGGAACGAAGATGCTAGGAATAACAATACAACATTGATCTTTCGGTTGGAAAACATCCTGTTCTTGACGGGAAACGATGGCTACTCAGTCTACACTGAGAGGCTCGGCAGATCCGCTGGCTGCTATGTTAAAGCAGTACTCAGACATCATCCGACAACGCCTTCGAAGCACATCAAAAGCGACAAGACTACTTGCGACATTGATCTTGACAATATCTGTCATAGCAACTGGTGCAGGTGGAAGGAAATGGTGGAAGAAACGGAATGCGGAAAAAGAACAGGGTAGGAGACTGCTTCGCAGGAATTCTGGGCTGCGAAACAAGGACGGTTCTCGGGTTATATTCGTTCCTTATGGGGACTCAACCTCAAAGGTTACCATATCCCCCACGAAACCGACGACATTCGATGCACACAGGCGGCTGTTCCTGAACCCTCCGCGGGCTTCTGGCCTTGCGAACGGGAACACACCTCAAATTCCGCCAGCAAATGCGAAACCAGGACTGAACCTCGCATTCTTACACCAATTTCTTAGTCTGCTGAGTATCATGATACCTCGCTGGACGAGTAAGGAGACTGGTCTGCTTCTGAGCCATGGAATGTTTTTGATGCTTCGCACGTACCTATCTTTGGTGGTAGCACGACTAGATGGAGAAATCGTACGAGATCTCGTTGCAGGTAATGGCAGGTCATTTATATGGGGGATCATCAAGGTAAGCATATATCTATGTGTTTATGTTATATTTGCTCATGTGCTGACCATGATTCCTTCAGTGGTGTGGCATTGGCAGCTTCGCAAGCTATACAAACGCCATGATCAAGTTCCTACAATCCAAGGTATCGATAGCATTCCGTACCCGTCTCACGAGGTACATACACGACCTTTACCTCAACGACAATCTCAACTACTATAGATTGACAAATATGGACGGTGGAATTGGACAGGGCGCAGACCAGTTCATTACCCAGGATTTAACGCATTTTTGCGCTTCGGCTGCAGGGTTATATTCCTCGCTAGGGAAACCATTTGTCGATCTTGTGGTCTTCAATTATCAGCTATATCGATCACTTGGGCCTCTAGCATTCGCTGGATTGCTGAGTAACTATATTCTGACAGCCAGTCTTCTCAGGAGACTCTCACCACCATTTGGTAAACTAAAAGCGGTAGAAGGCCGCAAAGAGGGCGACTTTAGGGCTTTACACTCTCGGCTGATTGCAAATGCCGAAGAGGTTGCATTTTATGGTGGCGCGAGTATGGAAAAGACATTTTTAGACAAGGAGTTCAAGAGCTTAAAGAGGTGGATGGAGGGCATTTATACCCTGAAGATCCGATATAATATTTTAGAGGACTTTGTACTGAAATATAGTTGGAGTGCGTATGGGTATCTCCTCAGTTCTCTCCCTGTTTTCTTACCAGCATGGGGAGGTCTTGGAGGTATTCAGGAGCTGGCGGACGCTTCTGTGAGTGGTGGAAGAGAGAGAGGTCGAATGAAGGAGTTCATCACCAATAAACGTCTCATGCTTTCACTAGCTGACGCCGGTGGACGAATGATGTACTCGATCAAGGACCTGTCTGAACTCGCGGGATATACCAGCCGAGTATACACCTTGATCTCCACTCTGCACCGAGTCCATGCGAATGCCTATTTCCCACCTCAAGGCACGCACCCAGAGCTCTTTTCTTTGTCTGATGTGCAGGGCACGATCCAAAAAGGATTTGATGGTGTCCGTCTGGAAAACGTACCTATCGTAGCTCCATCCGTTTTCCCTCATGGGGGCGAGGAGCTTATTGATTCTCTCTCCATGATTGTCCATTCAGGAGAACATCTTCTTGTAAGCAAGCCCATTTATCATCTCATTGCTTTTCTGACCATTTATAGATATCGGGACCAAATGGTGCTGGAAAGAGCGCTGTTGCACGTATCGTAGCCGGTCTCTGGCCAGTATACCGTGGGTTGGTTTCCCGTCCAAGAAGCATAGGAGCAGATGGAATCATGTTTCTTCCACAACGATCCTACCTGTCCGTCGGCACTTTGCGAGATCAAGTAATATACCCTGATGGTGAAATCGAGATGCGCGATAAAAATCGCCGCGATATCGAATTAAAACGCGTGCTGGAGGAAGCTCGATTAGGCTATCTCCCTGACCGTGAAGGTGGCTGGGATACCAGAAAGGAGTGGAAAGATGTGCTTAGCGGTGGTGAAAAACAGAGAATGGCAATCGCCCGACTACTGTATCATGAACCGCGATATGCTTTTATTGATGAGGGTACGAGTGCTGTGAGTAGCGACGTGGAGGGTTTGCTGTATGAAAGATGCAAGGAGAAGGGAATTACACTCATCACTATATCCACTCGTGCATCTCTGAAACGATATCACACCTTCAACCTCTCGCTCGGTATGGGTGAGGATGGGACGGAGTGGGAATGGGAACGCATCGGTACCGTAGAGGAGAAGATGGGTGTAGAGAGGGAGTTGCAACAACTTCGGGAACGTCTCGAGAAGGTCAAGGAGTGGGAGTCTAGGAAAGGAGAGATTGAGGAGGAACTGAATAAGGTGTGGGTTGAGGGTGGGGAAGAATTGGACGATCCCGCATTTGTTACTGGTGATGAAGGGGAGGGTTGATATTGCGCATTGGTTAGAAATATGGAACAAAAATACAAATCCATAAATTCGCAGGGACGCTGACAGGACTTGATCAATCATTTAAAAATACTGTCGAATTGCTCCTTTTCCGATTTAAGTGTCCTCGCGGAGGACAAGATAAGTTTCAGTCATCTGTCTACTAATCTTACTCTAAATAAGTCGACTTCGAATACAGCTTAAGAAGGCTTGTTTACTCAAAACAATTGACGGAATATGTAGTATTGTCCTAAGTTAATCCACTAAATATACAATATTTCGTCAACTTAATCAAAGAAATATCGTATTTCGACTACCACTTATTAGTTCAGCGCGAGGTGTCGTCCCGAGAATGTCCGTCTTACTCTGCCAAGTTGAGTATCACGTCCTCGCTTCTTTCAACCTCAGTTGACATTATGCCATCTTATGACCTAGACCCCTCTCCCTTCTTCTTTTCAATCTCCACCGCTTTCCTTTCCTTTAATCAGTCGTCGTACGACCTAATCGAGTTCCAAATACCTATCTACCTATAGGTAGTTCCTCGTCGCCTTGACAATCATTCGGCAGATCGCCCTCTAATTAACCAATATGCCGTTACATTTCCAACGACCTCTCCGTAACCTTTTCTGCCAAAACACTGCACTCTCATTCAGATCAAATACACAACCTCTTCACCAGCACTTCTCGACCACTTCATCGCCCTCAAATACTCACAAGTCCAAACCTACACCGAACAATCCAACCATCGAATCAACACCCATTTCAGACCTTTTCCGTAACTCTTCAAAGACTACGAAGACTATCTTTTGGGTTGGGGTTGGGATTATGGCTACTGCCGAGACGGTATTTCATGGCATGTGGCTTTGGAGGAAGGTGGAGGGGTGGAGGGCGGAAGGAAAGAATGAGTGAGGAGTGGAAGATGGTTTGAGAGGATAGGATTAATAGGTGTCTAAATTTATGAAGGAGGTGGGGAATTATGAGCTCAGTCGCTGCTCACTTACGATGTGTTGATACCCGATCGTAACTCTCTTGTGGAATTATTACTGCTGGAGTTTATTATAGACAAATCAATGGCGTGACAGGAATCGGAAACCACTCTACTTCCAACAAAATATTCGGTGATTATCGTTACTTCCAGTTGGACTTGCGTAGGTAGTAGCATGAGAATACCTCTAAATATAAGACACCAGCAGGATCAGAATGAGGCGTATTGATTGAGGAGGATCTCCAGCCACGATACTTCACGTGATTTTGTTGCGAACAACGACACTCGAATCCCTCAGCTCGTATCTTTGGGATCAGTCACTTCGAGGTACGTTTATGAGTCAGTCTCAGAGCCTCAATCAAGCAACGCAACAAACAATTGACCGTTTGATCCTTCTCACGTGTTATCTCAACCCCTAAGCTGGCTCATCTCCCAGTCGCCCTGGTGGCGTCCAAGCTCGCCGAGACAGTTTGGCTTGCTGTAGCCAAGTCCGGAAAGCTTGTGAAGGAATACCAAGGACGTGACAAGCAATGACAAGCTTCTCGAGGGATCATGCCAATGGATGATCCTATGTACGACCCCTCGATTGTAGACGCATCATTGTAGAAACATTTCTCGCTGCCGGCGATGTTGGAATAGCACGAATACGACGACGTCTGTGGTGAGCAAGGAGATTGCGCAAATTCATATGTGCCGTAGCACAGAAACTCATTAAAAATAAATGTAAGCAGCAGCCTGGAGAGACTCTGACAGACATTATTTCAAATTCATCATCCACAGAAACATCCTTTTTCTTGATGCCGTTTTCCAGCTGGCGCAAGTGACTTTGGCACCATCTTCTATCCCAAAACATAGCGCGTGTGAAAGAGTGGCCTCCACCCAATGAAATACAGTCGGTGAATACAAATAATCACAGTGCAACGGATGTTTCGGCCGCGAGAGGCAACAGCCTCGAGATGAGCCAATCCACATCAGGTAATTACCTGGGAATTACTGGGATTCGGCGGTGTTTTCCTCGTAATAACCCACTCCCACTCCCTCTCCCTCCCTAAGACTGCAAACTCCCACCAGTCTGACGACACTGCGCCCTGTTCATCCTCATCTCCTAATTTTGTGTCAACATCCAACTCGCAGTCTTTCTCTCCAGACTGCTCTTTCCTCGAACATTCACGTTCGCTCCCGTCGTTCATAACCACTTGGCATCGCTCTCTACCAGTACACTCGCTGTCCTCAGGATCTTCCCTTTTCTTCTCTGCGCGCAGAGCAACATTTATTGCCACGACCAGTAACAGGATAACACCGCGACAATGGGCAAATCCTCTCTTCTTCCATTATTCGCAGCTGCGACTGCTCTCATGAGCACCGCATCTGCTACCCTCGATCCAATCGTTATCAAGGTGCGTTGGTCTTGATGGAATGGCAGATGGCTGGATGTCAATTGGCGTGTATATATACTGACATCTTGCACAGGGTTCCAAGTTCTTTTACAAAACTAATGGTACTCAATTCTTCATCAAGGGTGTTGCCTACCAATCTGGAATCGGTAGCAATGGACTCGAGCCTGCAGCTGTAAATACATATTGATTCTTTTTGATGATATTCATCCGCTGACAATGCTCAGGGCACCAAATATGTTGACCCTCTCGGCGACGAAGCTACATGCAAGCGCGACGTCCCAAGACTCCAAGCCCTTGGAGCAAACACCATTCGTACATATGCCATCGATCCTACCCTCGACCACAAGCCATGTATGGCTTTACTCGACGCTGCTGGAATCTACGTAATCAGCGATTTGGGAGAGCCAAGTTTGTCAATTGACCGATCCAACCCAACATGGGACGTCAGCCTCTACCAGCGATACACATCTGTTATCGATGCGCTCTCGCCATTCACGAACACAATTGGTTACTTTGCAGGAAACGAGGTGCCAAACAACCTGACCTATACCAGCTCGGCCGCTTACGTGAAGGCCGCTGTCCGCGATTCGAAGGCATACATCAAGTCCAAGGGATATACTCAGGGTGTGGGATACGCTGCGGATGATGATCAAACTGTTCGCGCTCAGGTTGCTTCCTACTTCAACTGCGGAGATTCCAGCTCCACAATCGATTTCTGGGGATACAACATCTACGAATGGTGTGGGGATTCTTCTTTCCAGGAATCCGGATACGCGGACAGAGTCAAAGAATTCTCCACCTACTCTGTACCATCATTCTTTGCCGAGTACGGATGCAACAAGCCAGGTGGTGCCGCTGCCCGAAAGTTCTCTGAGGTTGCTTCTCTCTATGGCACAGATATGACTCCTGTCTTTTCTGGTGGAATTGTCTACGAATACTTCCAGGAGCAGAATGACTTTGGTTTGGTTTCCGTTGTCAACTCCGCCAGTGTCAGCCCACTTTCAGATTACGCTGCTTTTTCCACCGCATTGAACGCTGTCAAGCCATCAGCAACTCAATCAGCAAGCTACACTCCAACCAACAGCGCTTTATCTTGCCCAACAGTTGGCGCCAACTGGGCAGCTGCTAGCGTTCTTCCTCCAACCCCAAACACCAACGTCTGTGCTTGTATGGTTAGCAGTCTGTCATGTACCACCAAGTCCAGCATCGATGATTTAGCTGTTGGACAACTCTTCTCCACCGTCTGTGGTCTTCCAGGGAACCCATGCAAAAACGTTATTGGAAACGCAACCACAGGTGTCTATGGCGCTTACTCTATGTGCAATGCCACTGAGCGTCTTGCAAATGCCTTCGATACTTACTACCAAGGTCTGAGCGCCACCAACAAAGCCACTGGATGTGATTTTGGAGGAAACGCGACTCTTGTCAGCAAGCCAGCAGTTGGTGCCTCTTGTTCTTCCGCGATCGCCTCTGCTACTGCTGCTGCCGGTGCCGCAGCTTCTGGTGGTAGCTCTGGTTCATCCAGCGGTGGTGCTTCCTCATCCGCATCAACAAGCAAGAGTGATGCTCCAAACTCGATCGTGGGTGCTAGCTTGGGATTGACCAAGTACTTTACAGTCGGCTTTGCTATGATTGCTGGTTTCTCGGGCATGGGTATGATTTTGCTGTAGAGGAAATTAAAAATTGGAGGGCATAATTAGACCTTTGTATAATTCTTTCTCTTTTTTTTAGCATGCTGCATGGTCTTCATCTTTTAGTATTCATTGTCTGAATTGGGGATTGGAAGCGGTGTATATGACATAGTCGTTCTCTCTCTTTTGTTTTATTCTTCCAGAATCACATTGCGTTAGGGATACTTGGTAGAATCTAAAAGGTTTCATTGACGACTGGTGGTGTTTGGTGACTTTGTGATGCCTTACTGGCGGATCTCGTTATTCGTGAGTTGATTAGCAAAATATCGTAATCATTGAGGTACTTGCGAAATCCAGTTGATCTGACATGTGTAATTGCAAACTGCCTCCTGGGCGCGATCATCTCTTTGTTCTTGGAAGTACGGTGGAACCGTAAGTAGTAGAAGCTGCCTGAAACACTTTTCATTGGGGGAATTTTGGAATGAGCCCTTCAATAAAGGAAAGCCACAAGAATTATTGTAAGATTGGAACCGCGTGTACCTTTGAATGCTGCGGGAGGTCCCAAGGCTCGCTAAAGCCGGTACTCGAGTGTTCAACTCTTTCCCCAAATGTCCCCAGCTCCGCACCCGGATAAATTCAAGACTTTCGTCCCTTGCAATTGATGGAGACCCCGCGTTTGATTCGAAGCTACTGATATGAATACGCTAGACCTAGGTCCCAAAATCCACTCTACTTTCGCATCTCAATTTCCCACCACTCAAGTTTCTTCCATCTGCTGTTGAATTGACCAATGATCTGAGCTCGCGGGGTGGAAATTTTAAGGATAGTAGATGTACAGGACTCGGTTTTAATGATGTAGGAGTACAGAATTGATATATAAAGTCCTCTTGGCAAGTTCATATTGAAATGTCTTGTCTCAGCCAGAAAGCTTGACTGACATCAAATCAAAATGAAGCTTCTTAACTGGCCGGCGTTGTTGTTGGCCCTTACAAAATTCGCAACACTCGCCACAGCCCACCCATCTGGCCTCACAAAATGTCAATTACCAACACGCAATCCTTTAAGTAGTTGTCCAAAAAACACTATTCTAGTCTCTTCATCAGACAAAAGAGCTCATTTCACCACAATTCAATCCGCCATCCTCTCCCTCCCAGACGATCACTCCTCTCAGACTATCCTCATCCTCCCTGGCAACTACACCGAACAGCTCAACGTAACTCGACGTGGTCCCCTGACTCTCATAGGACAAACCTCCAAACCCACATCCCAGTCAAGCAATACAGTAACAGTGCTGTTCTCCGCCGCAAATGTACAAGCAAGCTACACAGACAACGCATTTACTTCAGTTCTGACCGTCTCGCCAACACTTGAAGCAAGTTTGACGGGAAGTGGTCCAACCGGCTACGCTGTACCCAATAACACCGTATATGGAAACACAGATTTCCGAGTCTACAATATCAACTTCCGCAATGTATTCTCGGAAGCAAGCGTAGGACCAAGTCTCGCGGTCAGTGTGAGCCGAGCAAACGCAGGTTTCTACTACTCTGGATTTTACAGTTATCAAGACACAGTTCGTCTCCCTCTCCATTCTGTATTAAACAAAACTAACACCTTCCAGGTCTACATCGGCAAACTAGGAAACGCATACTTCAAATCCTCCGAAATAGCCGGCCAAACCGACTTCCTCTACGGCTTCGGAACCGCCTTCATCCAATCCTCGCGTCTCCTCCTCCGCAACTGCGGCGGCGGCATCACCGCCTGGAAAGGCGCCAACACCACCTTCCCCAACAAATACGGCGTCTACATCTCCCAATCCACCGTCGTGGCCGCGAACTCCACCATCGCCCCAACCATCATCGGCAAGTGTTTCCTGGGCCGTCCCTGGAACATCCAGCACCGAAGCGTGTTCATGGATACGTATCTCGATGCTACGATCAACGCGGCGGGATATAAGAAGTGGGGGACGGGCGATGAGAGGTTTAGTAATTTGACGCTCATGGCGGAGTATAAGGATTTTGGACCGGGGTTTAATGAGACGGGGAGGATTGTGGGGGGTGTGACGACGTTGTTGAGTGAGAAGCAGGTTAAGGCGTATGATAAGCCCGTGGATGTGTTTATGGATGAGAATGGGAGACAGCCTTATGTGGGGTGGATTGATGAGGATGCTTAGGTAGTTGTGAATGAATGTGCTTTATGACCTGTGATGTAGTCTGTTGTATGTATGATTGAGTGAAAAGTGAAAAGTGCGAGTATGCTAGGCGATGTTTGGAATTGCGGTCCATTGTGGTTGAACGTGATGCACAAGTTGACGTTATCATCTCATGTCTCTACGATTTCCTCTCAAGAAGAGCAATTATTCTTTCGCAATCCTGGAGTCTGATAAATGAGATGAAAAATGGTACATGCCCAGAATTCATCCTCTTCCTTTACTACTTGACAAAGAATTGCATAAACCTTAGTTTCTCATAAACGTTCTCACATAGTGTCATTCAATACCCAAACCCTTTTACCTCCTCCACTATGATAATGCACTTGCTTAGTTTAAACCCCTACAAGCCCCTACGACGAATCATATATATACCTAGACTCACCAACAAAGCCAATGGAAACCCGAGCGCTTCATCCCCAAAGTATCGGGCATAGTCGACCTCAAAAGTGCCCTATCACAGTAAAAAAACTAAGTTTCGAAACGATTGGACCAAATCGGAGTGGAAAACACATGCCTGATTCACTTCCAAACTCAGATAGTTCCCTATCAGTCTTCTGTCTGTATGTTGGGGTGTCATTCATCTGCGCCAGCAATTCTTAAGTTGATTTCATCCAGTTTTCGCAACTCATGACACGACGTAGACGTGTATTTTCCTTTTTTATTATTTGATCAAGCTACTAGGACTCTACACGCTCATCGACTCGATTGAAATTTTCCCGCTATCATATAGAAGTAGTGTTTGTCCAAGGAGGATAAATGTAAAAGTTGCGATTGAGCTGGATGCTGAACCGTCGAAAGTTACAGCCCGAAGGTGCTAAATGGGCTTGATCTCTGAGAAAATTATATGTATACTGGCGTATTGCTTCGGCTGGTCAGCTAAGCGGAATTGAAGTCTCTTATCAAGTGTTGAAGGATCTCTTTTATTTTTACAGAGAACTGCGACTGAGGATATCTTTGAGCCCGTTGATCAGCTCGAGAACCCAAGGTGAAAGCCTCATTGATAGGCACTGAAACCACGATAAGTCAGGATTATGACAGATAAACAGGTCGTTACCCCCATTTTACCATTTCTTTTAAACAGGTTTGCCCAACGTGGTGCAGTATTTCGGTTCACACGCACCAGAGGTTTAGAAAGTCTATTTCCTGAGCGTGTGTGCTAGATGAAGTGCGTCAATAATGAATAGACAGAGAGTCTTTTTCTCTGCCAGAAAGTTAAGCTTGTTAGTTTTTAAAGGTCGTGAGGTGAGTGCTGGGTGAATCGATGATTTGAAACTGTGTGCTAGATTTCTGGCAAGTGTAAGTAATTGAAAATTAGGAGGTAAATAGCATGTTTTATGACGGTAATTATATATTATATTACGGGATCATTGACTAAATGATAATTGCAAGCCATCTGTCCTACAATCGCGAAAATCAGAAACGTTGGTGAATAACCCCCCTTTCTTTTGACTTAGCGTGATCCGAGTTTCGGGGACAAAATTGATCATTAATCTGTCATAACTGTCACGTTTCAAGGTATGATGAAGAAAACCCGCAGTACAGGGCTTAAATTTAGAGGGCTGTTTGGTTTGTAGCGACGCATATGTCGGGTTTTTAAGTCAAGTCGACCTTTTTGAAGATATACTGAGGGACAGACCGGGAATGTAACACTTCATCACATGAGAAGAAGAAATGACATGTATAAAATTATTAAAGTGCTATCCAGCAGCTTACTGTAGCTTATTTGTTTTAAATCGTCAAAGTCCCGGAGTTACAGTTCAGCATGGTATCATGGTTCATGGTCGTGGAGTTTGATGTCAGATTGGAGATGAGGTTTTGCACTGGTGAGGAAGACGAAGCAATCTCCACGGAACAGCAATGACCTCTCGTACGATTGAAATGGTTAAGTAGTTAGTTCTCTAACAGAATACATAGCTGATGCCGAAATTCATGTGCAAAATGACACATGGAAGTTGGTGCACGAGGTTGGTGACGCTTAATTGTTAATGGATTTATCTGTACCATGTCACCAATATATCCTTCACCGAAAAATGATAAATATTCTTTGAAAAAGTGAAATGTCTAAAGGTTCGCTTCACTATCTTCATCAGAGACGTGACACATGGTTGCAGGTTTGGTGATGGTTGATTTAACATTTATTTGACCAAGTGATTGTACATTATGACGACAACATATCCTCCCACGATCATTAACAGACTACTCAGGAGCACTTCCTGAGTAAGTCACGCCTTCTTCTGTCCTGTCGCACCTCCCGCCGCACCTCCAGCCTGATCCGCAACCCCTCCAACAGTCTTGGTGACACCGCTTGTGGCACCTCCAGCAGTCTTTCCAACACCATCAACGGTTCCGCTGACAGTCTTTCCAGCTCCATCTACGGTCTGTCCAACTGTGTTTGTGACTCCGCCGAGAAGGCCGCCCTGTCCCTTTTGCTCCTCGCCTCCGGTGAGGGTATCATCGAGGTTCTTGGTAACACCTCCGAGAAGACCGGCCATTTTGATTGATTTGTTTGGGTTGAAGTGGTTTAAAGAGGTTTAATTTGTTTGGTTTGGAGGAAGTGAGGTTTGTTTGTGGTTTGGTTTGATGATGATCTATGCTGGAAAGGACTATACCACCTCGTACCCATCTACATTAAATACTCGAATCCCCTCTTCAAACCTCCCAACAACTAAGTTTAGGATGATACAAATGAAACGTCATATTCGCCATTCTCCTCTTTCGAATAATTCTTCCTGAAGCTTATTTGCGCCAGATCATCAACTATGCGAGATCTGGTCCACACTCTAGGACCCCGATGATCAGAATATGTGATCCTCACATGGAGATACCTTGATTACAATCATCCACCTGCTCGCTCTGCTGGTGATTTCCTGTTTCTCCAGGGTGAGTATTACATGTGTGGCGGTGCAGCTTCCCCATACAGCGACCTTCGCATGAGGAGGACCACTTATTCAAGGCCGGCCAAGGTGCAAAAACCTGGTTTTTGGACCATGAATTGCGTGTACACCCTTGAAGAGACAACGTTTCCCTTGTATCTCGAGGATCAAGATGTGAACTGTGACCTAACCGCCGAGGGGTGAGAGTAGAGTGATAGTGCTGTGAGGATAGTGATGTTGCTGTGATCTTCGTCACTTCAGCGTTACACCAGGAGTTGATTCCCACATCGTACCAAACGTGGAGAGCACTGTGGCGTCATTCATGGGGTAGATGATGTGGGTAATGATGTTGTGTTGGAGTCTGAGTAGATGATTGGATGAAGCTGATGTGTATGAGCACTCGTCGAAAAGGACGCATGGACTTCGACGGAGAAGAGCAGAGAAGTACCGGCAGATGAGAAAGTTCCGCTGTGCATATGCCTCTTCATGTATCTGATTCGGACAATACAGTAGTGGGTTTGGTAGCAGTGTCTACTCAAAGCTGAGACTCGAAAGATAATATGCAGACACCTGGCCAGAGGTAGATAGATTTCTGTCATTTGGATGGAAAACATAGAACGCCTAAGTGTATCTATCTTATCATGATTGATTTCAGGGTTCACTGGGCACATTAACGAAAAGTTAATTAAACCTCAGCTATAGAATTTCAGTTTAGGTTAGCGATCACTTCACTGTACTCATTTCTCCTTCTTCCTTAACGCTTTCACGGCCCTGAAGTGGCTATTCACTCCCTGAATTAAGAAAGTATTATTCGTTACCCTAACCAGCCACGTTTATCCGAGTAACATTGAAGTGAAGATTCAATGCCTGGTAGTTTATGAAAACCTGCTTTCAACAATGAGCAAAATGCTACCTACTGTAGTAAATTCTCAACGACAACCAGCCTCTTACCAAGTTTTATTTTGACTTTAAGCCTAACGAGTATCATTTCCGAGTTGGAAGGACCTGGATTCTGGTGGTCGAAAGTTCTGCCTTTTTCGTGCCGCTTCCCAGTCACAGGTAGCTCTGGTAGCCCGAAAGCCAACAGGCTGGAAGCTATCGTCTTCGGCCGCCAGTTAGAGAGGAAACTTTAGTCGAGTACGCGGCAAACTCCATTGTCATGACACTTGATATCAACTAAGAAGTTAGTGACATGTCACTTACGCCACATGATCGGCAGACGAGTTTCACTAAACCGATAAGGGAGTTAACAGAAATTATACAGAAACACCTCTTGAAATAGAACCTTCGAGAAGCTCGAAAACAGGTATTCTTGATAAAATCTGAAGAGGTGGGAGTTAGGGTGTTTCTGAATCAATCGCTTCATCCACTGACCCGTGTGTGCGGCAAGCTCACCGCCCAAACCGAGTCATATTCGAGGTCGTCATTCAGAGAATAGTCAGCAATATTAATTGCAGGCATATTTTGATGTTTCTCTGATGAAACACTTACTAGCAGCAGGTCCACGACGAAATGTAACCTCAAACCCATGCAGTTGGTGACAACAAATTGATCCTGTGTCACGGGTCACAGCCGTAGGGTTGGTTACTACGCCACACTTCAGATTTCCAGCGGTACCGAACTTCAGAGCTTTTTTCAAACAACCGCCTGAAGTTTTGGCGTATGGTAGCGGTGGTGCGCCCCTAAACTCGCGTGATAGATCGACCCAATGATTTGCGGAGAACAATGCGACGATGATTGTAAGTGCCAGCTGGCGCTGGCAAAAGCTGGCCGTTGTAATGTTTGCGAAGATCCATTTCCTGAACCTTGAATTGTAATAATACCCATTAATCGATAACAAAATGTCAACCCAAAGCCCGCCAGCAGATTTCGAAGTTGCAGAACTGGAAAAGGAGGTACCGGAACAATTGGAAGTCGAGAAGCCAAATCCAGAATCGAAAGACGGCGATATTTCAAATGCAAGACCTGCACAATTACCAACGCCAGACCCGACGTTACCTGAAGATTACTCTGATGCGCCATCAGTAGCACCGCAAGATCCTTCGAAAATAAAGAGAAAACATCAGCGCGGTGGAAGAAAGCAGAAGCAACAGCAAAACCAGCAGTCTTTGTCCGAAGCGCAACTTTTGGAGGAGCAAGAACGCGAAAACTTCGAAGAACAAGAAGGGCGAGGGAAACCAGCTCTGCCAGAATTAAAGCATCGCAGCTCGAATACTAGAAAAGCAACTGGCATCAGAACTTTCAACTTGAAAAGAGCAGAATCCTCGGGAGGAAGAGCGGTTGGTGTGTCGGTGGATGACAGTAACAATGAATCGAAAAAAGTCAAGAACAAAGTAAAACCAAAGAACAAATCAAAGCGAAAAGTCAAATGCGATAAGTGCGGCCAGAAGAGCAAAAAGAAGACAGCTGAGGAGAACTGGGAGAGTCAAGATTCGAGTGAGGAGAGCGAGGAGGAGGAAGAGCAGAAACCAGAGAAACCAAAGGAAAAGAAACCTTTCGCTATTCGTCTGGATCTGAATCTGGAACTTGAGATATTCCTCAGGGCGAAAATCAAAGGAGATGTGACCATTACTTTCCTGTGAGTCTGGTTGCTTTCGTCGCTCCGAATGATGCTGATTTATGTCCTCTAGGCAATAAGCTCGAACCGGTGAAATGTAAATTGTAGATATCGTCTTGGTCTGGATACTGAGTGTCTCTGTCTGCGGAGACAAATTTTGTCTGATATGTAGAATAATGTATGAATTATAATCTTTAGTGGATGCATTGCGGATGGTGTCATGTACGCTTGCGTCAAAAATTCCCGTTAACATACTCAAATCGTTCTCTCAATCAATTCGGCCACGCCATGCTCGTGCTGTGAAAAGGGAACCTTACCTCGAAGTAAGTTCGATTCGCTTTTGGTATGAGATAGTGTTCTCGTTCAGTGGTTATCCTTGAAAGAGTGTCTGTGGGAAGGCTTTCCTGATCAACTTCAGGGCAAACATGGTGCGACCCGTACTACCTGCTCCCTGAACCCACTGTAATTCACACAACTTCTCAGCGCCTTCAGCGTGTCAGTTCACTGAACGGCCCTGAAGCACGATCTTCTGCGTCCTATTCCCGTCTGCATGAAAGCATAAATTGAACAATGACTTTAGTATCCGCTCACCCCCTTTGTGACTTCCAACACCCCCCAATGTTTTTAGCTCACGGCGCTCAAAACCTGCTTTTAGTGTTCGTTCCCGCGGACGGGAGCCAGGGTGGCTGCAGTGTTGCAATGCAGCAGCCCAATCTTGGAAGAGACCTTGAGACGGTAAGCTTGCAACCCACACTGGACTCGATGTGCACAGTGCCTGATGTTCCTGAACACAAACAGCACGTTTCCGATCTTACCAAAAATCAACTGGTTTCTCAAGAAAACGTCCGATGTTCCGTTACCTCGCACAAGTGCCGGAGAATAACTTGTCGAGACCGTTTGGTGCGAGGGATAAACGGTTGATAGAAGATATTGACTTCAGTGATATTCCCACGCCAAAAGCGCCTTCTGAATAATCGGATTGACGGCACCAGCCAAAAGTATGCTCGATGGCACCATCCACAGCCTGACAGGCGGGCGGATCGCGGCCGGTGCTTGCAAATGTTTGGTTCGGGATGCGGGGCGTCCCCGGCTGCTGAAGTGGGGAAGAATACGACAACAATGCGTTGATGATTGCAGGCTCTGGCTGGTTCTCCAAGGTGAAACTTTCTTACTGCAGAGATGTTCCATCACAACTCCTACATGCTGTACTGACAAAATAGATATCTCGAAGCCGTGATAACTCGGTACCTCTGGTAAAGTGAGTTGCATAATTATGCCGTAATTATGATTGCGGATTGTCATATTGAAGGATGACTTCCAAGGTTCCAAGTTCATGCGCATCTTGACTCAACCCCTGTTTTCGCTTAGCGCCCCTATTATACTTTCCCAGGTCGATCACGACCAAGGCTAAGCGAGTCAGCCACAGCATTGTCAACGTCGTCAAAACCCCCAAGATCCAAGAACCGCATCCCGCTTCAATGGTATTCGCGCCAATAAAATGGGCTGCTCCATATTACTGATGAATTCGCATAGGATGTTTCACAAGTCGTGCCGAGCCAGGTTTTCGAGAGATTCTGACCCTGCCAAAGGATCTTTTGGGCGCCATAACGCAGTCAACCCGGGTTTATGTGAAGATCACACTACGACGTTGGTATCAATATTGGTTCATTAATTTGTTCATTCACGACGTTTGAAACCGTCAAATAATTATAATCTAATCCTCATAATTTTGGGTTGAACGCCCCCGGGGTAATAACTCCATCCTCTACTATACACGTGTCCGAGCCTGACAGTTGCCGGTCCACTTAATTTCGACTGTTGCCGCATTACTATGCTGTGTGCAAGGTGCGAAAAACAACTGTACTTACTCACAGTAATCCAATTGTCACATCACCCTTCACTCGGGCGTATAAATCCACCTAAAGGAGAAAATAATGTTACTACATTAAGCCAATCGTCACATCACCCTTGACTCTCGCATACAGATCCACCTGAGCAATAAATAAGACGCTGGGAGTGGGTGATGGGGGCGGGTTTTATTTACCTCGACTTCTAAATCAAGCTCGATCTTGATCTTCAAACTGCTGTCTCTGGATTCCTTTGGCTGCGGACGATCCTTGATTCTTGACTCTCTAATCGCACCGGTTCGGCCACCCATGTTACCCGTTACTCGCTGGTCCATAGGAACCATGTTTTGTTGTGGTTGCTGCTGCTGTTGCTGCATTTGCTGACCGTTCTGTTGGTTTTGCTGTGGCATTCTCTGCATTGTTCGCTGGCCTTGCTGCTGCTGCTGAGGTTGTTGCTTTTCCGCGACCTGTTGCTCTTGTTGAGGTTGCTCTTCTTCCTCCGACTCGTACTCGTAGTCCGCCTCCATAGTGTTGTTTTGCTTTTCACTGAGCTTGAATTAGCATTGACATGTTAGAATGGCGGAGTCGCGCAAATTTACCCGTCAGACATTTTGAAAGATTTCTGATAACTAGGTGTTCTTGATTGTATCGGTCGCGATGAGACTGCCACGATTTGCTGGAATGGATATTCTGATAGTTCGGATTCGCTGGGGGAGAATGAAAATATTTCCCGACTTTGAGCAAATGATTGATAAATGTTGACGGAGTAACAGCGAGCGAGGAGTTGAGATCGTTCTTATGAGGGTTGACCTCCGGGATGATGCCAACTTTCTCATAAAATCTGGGGAAGGGTGTTACGATGACATCAGAAGCTGCACTCATGCACATTTACTGACAGGAGCTTTGGTATGTGTAAGCTGTTTCGAATAAGCTGCCCTGTTCGAACTGCGTCATAGCACGCCTGTGGGCTGGCCTCGTAGATTTATGGCGCAGGGGCTGCGTGTAAAGTGGTCCACAATTCAGGGCTCGGAAACAACAATCCATGTGTCTTTCCTCCGTTTGCTGTCCGTTTCTTGTAGGGAAAATCCCACCTTATATAAATTTCCTTGGTACCAAGGAAAGTATAGTATTCCGTGTACAAATGTGCTAACGGGCAGTTAGTCCACTTGGTGTTGTGTCAATAGTTGCGAGGTGTTTTATTTGCGTACGTATAGAAGTACACAATTTGCACGGTATTAACTTCCACCAAGAATAATGCAAGTTGCCCCACAGCCATAATTGGTGCCGTTACATTTTGAACCCTGCATATGTGCTGTCAACCTTTTGCCGTTATGGGAGCTCGGTGCTGAGGGCTGGAAACGCAGCATAAGCGAATCCAACGAGCCGGAGCTCCTGAACTTGTTGTCTATTCTTCTAAATTTCATATCAACATCTTCATCTGAAGCTATACATATTGCCAGGCATCCTAAACATATCACAAAGAAGCTCTTAGCCACAGAAAACTCATATTGATTGTAATCGTGCTAAAATCAGAGCTGTACTCGCCACATCAAAATGGTTCTCGGCATCCTCACTTCGATTGCAGCTTGTCCGGCGATTATTGGAACAACAGAAGCCGTAAGATCAGGTCAGAAGCAAAATGCAAGAGAACGGCATAGAAGTCGCAAAGCAAATCTAGTTGTCTCATGTCAAGATCCATCGCGAAAAGCTCGTGATGTCCATGGTGGAACGGTGGTGTTAAGAGACAACAAAGTAAGTGGCAAATCTTTTTACAGTCAACTGAACACTTGCTAACATTTAACTTTGCAGCTTTTTGTGACCACCGTAAATCCTAAATCAAAATTCCCTGAAGATTACGAGAATGATAGCGAGCGGATACAAGGCTTTGGCCATCTCTTTGCCGGTTACTTTTTTCCATATCCCGAAAGTAAATGGGGTCGTCGGGGTGAAGGATACGTCTCAACCGTTACCGACGATCCTCCACAGCTGAACTGGATATACGTGGACAAAGATACATATGAAGTAAAATATGGGCTTAGGAAAGACGCGGAGGGACATTTAACAGGGCCCTGGAACGTCACACCGATCGATCGCAGATTAAATTTTGATGGCTGGGAAGGGTTTATTATTGTTGAGGAAACCGAAGGAGTTTGGGCTCTATATTTTGATGTTGATGATGATGGGCTCGAAACTAAAGTTGGCTTGGATAAACGGATTATGGAGATTGAGTTAACAAGAAGAGAGTTGAGGATGATGAAAGGAGATTGTATTATTTGACAACGACAGAGCCCTCTGAACCTGATGTTTATAAGTTTGTTCTGTAATCATCTTCATCGTCTCATTTACCCTACATCTCCTTTGGTGTTGGCCTATTTGATGAAGCCTTCATTATGCTCAAATCATATACCGAGGCATCTTCCCTCATTTTGGACAGCTTCACGATAAGAATCACTTATCAGGCTTCACAATCATGCCGTGTCGTGTGCAGTGGATTTGCTGCGAGTCATCAGCCTTAGGTTAGTTTAGGGAACCCAGTTTGCTTAGAACCGCCACCTAAACTTTACTTCAAAGCCCACACCTATTCTCACTAGACACACCCATCAGCCACACCTCTGACGCCCAGAATCATGTATGTCTGCTTTATCCTAGAAAAAATACGTCATATCCATCATGGAGCCCAGCTCCAGACTCAAGTGGCTTGACGTGGTGAGTCCTGTGTGTGGCACACTGACGGCTCACCTGGTCGCTAGGAACTCGTGGCAGTTGTGTCAGATAGCAGGAAAATACTGGAGATAAGGAGTTTGCTATATCAGATTAGATACCTCGCAGTGACATTCTATAACCAAAAACCAAACAATATTTCATCTCTCACATACTTGAAATTCAATAATCATACCAAGAACACCCCTAAACCTTCTTCCAAAATGAGCAGCGGAAACATCCTCGAGCCCTCAAAAGAGGAGAAATCCACCACTTCCGGCTACTACGACTCTGCCATGCGTTGGGTTGAGGATACCTACCTTTCCTGGTTCGGCGAGAACCGCACTTCATACGGTGTCAAAGGTCAGTACAGCTCTGCAACTCTGCCGCAATCACTTGCTGACATGACGATATTTAGACAGCGTAGCGCAGACGAAAGTCACAGGCAACAAGGATGTTGATGGTATTCAGGACAGCGTAGGCGAGACTGTTGGGAATACCTTTGGAAAGGGTGGTCTTCTTGGGGGGGTTGGTGAGGGTGCTGATAAGAGTGTTCTCAGAGGAAGTGGTTAAAGTCGGGATTTCTGGACGAGACTTCTTAGACGATATGTATTTTGATAGATCTGGAGTTAGGGAGGTTATCTGGAGTTTGTTATGCTGGTTCGTGTCCGACGGATGTACAATGAGTGGTACAAGCAGCAGAAGATATTTCACTGCTTCATAGGCGTTGACGACTTATGATTTCAATACAACACAACATTTTAACAATCCGTATTATTACCCGTTTTATATACATAAAAATGAACTTGACACTTGAAAGAAATACTCTATTAGATTTGCGACACGTAGTCGATTTACAATCACTCGTGCACCTTTTTATTGAAGTAGCGCTGCTTCATTCATATTCTAATTTACAACGAAAGCATGAAAATGTAAATCCCTATTGTAATTCAACTCAAGTCAAGACGATCTAAGCTAAATAATCAGTTACTCAAACGCTACCAGGAAAAAAAAATCATTAAAAATTGTAAAATCAAATACCATTTCCAAACCACCAAAATGACCAAACCATCGTGCTTCTCAAACCACCTAAGTTGACAGGCCATGCTCACCACTTTTCTCATTTTCGAGATCTGGTGGGAGAGGGACTTCCGTCGCTGCACGCAAAAGCTCATCTTCCTCCCCGGGTAATGGTATGCCCATCGCAGCAGTCAAAGCTTCGTCACTAACACCTCCATCCTCCGGTTGTGGAAGACCTTCACAAGATCTGATAGCTTTGAGTTGAAGCTCATCTTCGTCATCCTCGATGTTCTGGGGATCTTCTTTCTTCTCTTCAGCTTTTTCCTCTCCTAGCATGATACTCGCCTTACGTTTATTGCCATTCGCAGTCTCATCCGACGCCGTGCCGACTTCTTTCACTTTGCCATCATCATCTACCCAATCTCCTTCATCTCTGCTCTTCGCTGCTCTCACTTCATCGGGAACATAGCCGTCAACTACCTCTTTGACCCCGGCCGTTAGAACCCAACCGACAATCTTCTCTCTTGAAACCTCCAGAAGAGCATCATATCCATCGTTGCGTTCCCGCTCGAACATACTGCAGTGACTGACAATTTCATTCTCCGCTTTCCCGTTCACGTTCTCTATCCACCAGCCTTTAGATTCTTTCTCTTTCACGTCATCTCCCTTTTTGGCCAGCACAGGGTCAAGTTCAATCGGTACAGCGCAGAATCGTCGTCGTGGGATGAAATAACCCCCAGACCAGACTCCGTTTTCTCCAAGACATGTGAAAACATTACATTTGCCCATACCATGTACCGCAGAGAGACGCTCAAGCCTGGCCGACATTTGCTGTTGCTTCATCAATGTACCGACAAACTTCAAGTGGCCGGCCATCCAAGCGAATCCCTCTCCAATATTTTCACGACTCACACCACTTAGAGATGCTATATCTGGAAGATGGTTTGAGAGCGCTTCTTTTCCTGGCATTGAAACTCCTTTAGGAAGACTTGGCATGGTTCGTGGCATTGAAGGCATTGTCGGCATGCTAGGGAGATTCTCTCTCTTCAAGTAGTGTCGCGGGTCGTAGTCGATGTTCTTGACATCAATCTTCGAAAGCGATTCCCCAATGGCTTCACGGTGAATATATGCAGTCACTCCACCAGCAACCACTGCTCCAACTGTTCCTGTCCGCGCAGCAAGTAGTCCCCAGCGCCGCCAACTGGAAGCTGGTACTCCTCCTACCGTTCTCACAACTGATCGCGCCTCTTGGTTTCCCGGAACCGTAGATGCTTTCGAGCTTGCGAATGATGATGCCGCGGCAGAGGCAGCTTGAAGTCCAAGACCACCGGAAAGCGAATTCCACAAGCTGTACAACGTCGATACATTCTGATATTGACTGAATGCTCCATATGCAAATAGACTTCGCGCAAGGCCGTTGAATGGGGTATCGAAGGTCAACAGTCCGGCAACAAGTGGAAACATGCACTCTTTGCCATCGATCTTGGGCCTGTTATTCAGGATTGAGAACAGCGCATCTGTAGCAACAAATCCGCCCATGCTATGCGCAACTAGAACAACACCGACACTTGGATTAAGTATCGCGCTTTTTGTACTCGCGCTGGTTTCGAGATCCGTAACCTGATCTTGCAGCCATTCTCGAAAGGTTTCCGCGCATGACGCGAGATCTCCTCGAGTTTCGTATTTTGGGTAGACTGCAGTGTGAACTTTCAGTTCCGGCGACGAGGCTTGGATAGTGTTTTTCAGGTCCTGTATCCGTTAGTGATCAGAGTGTTGGAGATACAATTTCATGTTTCTACTTGAGGGAATTCAAAGAATGTCTCTTCATCCCCCTTGAAGCCATGGATGAAGCACAGTAGGAGAGTCTCTATCATCTTGATATATGGATCTGTACAATAATGTTTAAATTAGGGCTAACAATTGAAGTATGTACATGAAGTGTAAATTCAACATTCAGAGATCCTCGAACATTAGGGTATCACCAGCATCAATGACGTTAGCGTACACGATTTGAACTCAAAAAGCCACCAAGAAAGGTACTCTGAACAAAGCAAAAGCCTTTCAGTAGACATGTGATACAACCAAGAAGAAGGGTCTTCTCGATATCGGGATAGACCCAGTCACTGCTTCCTGCTGGCTCGGAGAAAGCACCGCTAAACATCCACCACTATGTTTTCCCAACGAGTTGATTCGTCTGTATCATAAAATGAAGTCGTCAGCTGCAAGCACTTGCGGCCAGCATAACAAGTTTTCGTTCAGCCACACATGTAGTCTAATTGAGACGTGTGAGCCACAGTGGCGTCGAGCAGGCATGATCGCTGGTCCTACCACGCCTCGTCGTGTATCGTCGAAGATCTCGACCCTCGGTGCAGTCTGGCCATGATGTAACCTCGAACATCTGAGAGGAAGCGGGGTGTTGCAATCGGGAGCGATACGGATGGGCGATGGATGGTAGCTGCGGTCCTAACGAACGGTAGGATTAAGCGAGATGGTTGAACTTGGAAGAAACCTTGTTTTGGACCTTCAAGGTTGATGATTTTGTGGAGACGCCGTGACGGCAATCTACGAAGCAAAGACCTCGAGAATCCGAGATGTGATGTCCATGCCATGTGCGGGGCAACGGTTGAGCAAGTCTGTGCCCGGCTGTCGCGGCTGTCCTCTAGAAACCGAGTGCATTACTCTTCTGAACGTCCTGCGTTGTGATTCAGTCTGCGAGTACAAGTAAAGGGTACGATCTGTCAGGAAACCTCACTGAATGATGGCAGAGTTGATGACAGTAATGCGTAGTAAATAGTACATTCATAAACACTAGATTTTCGTATCAACTATATCAAAAAGTGCAAATAATTCCAAAGTTAATTGACATCTCGCTTCTGACCTCCCAGCATTACATTCGTTTTCCAATTCCCTTCCTGACCAACACCTTCCATAATAAAAATACAATAAAAAACTCAGACATCACAAATCAAGACATGGTGAACACACCTGGAATCTTGATCGTCAGAGTCATTCCGTCTTTGGTAGAATTGACATTGATCTCAATTCCTGGAGCCGCCCCGCTGGAAGCTTGTGCGCTGTTTGGTGTCTTGATGACCATTTCGCCGTCCTTTTGTGAAATGTCCAGACCCTCTGGTGAGCTCTTTTGTTTCGTATCGTCCCCAGCAGATTTCTTTGCCGAGTCCTTAACATCAGAGACCGTTCCAAGGACCTTTCCAGACTTTTCGTCCACGATTTCACCCTTTTCGTTGACTTTCTTCCCTGCGAGTGCCCCAAGATCATCACCTGTGACAGATCCCAGAACAGCTCCGGAGTCGTCAAGGACTTCGCCCTTGTCGTTAGCGGTTTGGCCGACGAGCCCCTTGAGAGACTCCAGATCTACAGGTAGAGACTTGCTGGCTTGGTCCACAGCACCAGTGGCTGTATCTTTAGCACTGCTAGCAGCATCAGATACTTTTTCTGTCAAACCTCCGAGTGCATCAGTTGATCCGCCTTTGTCGCCGCCTGTCAAGCCCTTCGCGCCATCCGTGGCACCTTGAGCCTGATCAGTCACTCCACCGGTGGTATCTTGAGCCTTAGAGGTGGCATCCCTGGCAGTATCTTGAGCTTTAGAAGCAGCATCTCCAGCCGTATCCTTAGCTTGATCGGTTGCTCCGCCCGCAGTATCCTGAGCCTTCGAGGTGGCATCCCCGGCAGCGTCCTGAGCTTTAGATGCAGTATCATCAGCAGCACCTTTGGCTTGATCGGTAGCGCCACTAGCAGTGTCCTGCGCCTTGGAGGTAACATCTCCGAGAGCTCCCTGAGCTTTATCAGTGGCTCCACTGGCGGTATCTTGGACCTTTGAAGCAGCATCTCCAACAGCGCTCTGTGCTTGGTCTGCAGCTCCGCCAGCAGTCTCTTGAGCCTTGGACGCCGCATCACCGGCAGCATCAGTAGCACCTCCTAAGGCATCTCCTCCGGGAGCGCTACCAGTAGCATTTTTGGCCTTGTCGGAAGCTCCCCCTGCAGCATCTTGAGCTTTGGAGGCAGCGTCGCCAGCAGCATTGCTTGCACCATCCAGTGGTCCCTTTCCGTCGGCGCCGCCAAGTGGTCCACCACTACTGCCGGCACCGTCAGTTGATGGCTTCTTTTTCTTCTTGATCATCTTAGGTTTGGACCCTTGATCTTTACCACCACCAAGAGCATCTTTCCCTGGCAGCCCACCAGTTGCTCCGCTGGCAGCATCCTTAGCCTTATCAGCAGCACCAGTGGGGTTGTCTTTCAATTCACTAGCTGTGTCGTTTGCTTGGTCAACTGAGCCACTTGGATTCTCAGCAGCATCTTTAGCAGGCTTTGAGGCATCATCAACCTTCGACTGAGCGTTATCAGTCGCGTCCTGGGCAGGTTTTGGTAGCTTTTTCTTGATGGTCTTTGGTGCACCGGAAGCCGTATCCTGAGCCTTTTTGGGCGCATCTTGTGCTTTCTCAGAAACATCCTCGGCTTTCTTGGAGACATCGTTAGGGGCATCCTGGGCTTTGCTTGCAACGTCTTCGCCTTTCTTTGGAAGCTCTTTCGCAGCATCTTGGGATCCTTTTAGACTGTCTTGAGCCTTGTCGAGAGGTGCTCCGTTGGTAGCGTCATTGTCTGATTCTTCCTCTTCCTCCTCGTCACTACCTTCATCTTCGTCTTGACTCCCTTCATCTTGGCTTTCATTTCCGCCTTCTGATCCAGAAGATTCATCGTAATCTTCTTCGTCAACCTAGACACAATTAGCTATTGAAAGAAAAGCAGCGGTCGGTGCAAACATACATTAAGATCGTTTTCGTGTTCATTGTTATGATTTTTTTGAGCGACTGAATTGTCATCTTCTTCATCCTCCTCCTGCTCGGAAGAGGAGTCTTCGCCATCATCAACACCTGAGTCTTCAGGGGCAGTTTGTTGTGACTTCTCTGGGGCAGAGTTCTGGTCCTCGTTGTCACCGTCGTCGGATTCCTCCTCTTCGTCATCCTCGGCGTCATCTTCATCATGCTCTTCCTCGTGATCGGACTCAGGCTCAGGTTCGGGCTCGGGCTCTTTGACTGGCTCTGGCTCTGGCTCCGGTGCTGGAGCAGGCTTCTTCTTTTTCTTGATCATCTTTTTTGGCTGATCTGGACTGCCCCCGTTGGTAACGGGAGCACCATTCTGCTTAACGTCGTCAAGTCTAGGGCAGAAATGTCAGAACGATTCTTTGAAGGCATTGGCCAGGGTCACTTACTTTTTTCCAGCATCCTCTGGCTTCGGGGCGTTCTCTTTTGCCCCGTCAACCTGCTTTTCAGCATCCTCTGGTTTAGGAGCTTTATCTTTTGCCTCGTCAACCTGCTTTTGAGCATCGTGTGGGTTAGGAGCTTTGTCTTTTGCCTCAGCAACCTGCTTTTCAGCATCTTCTGGTTTTGGAGCCTTGTCCTTCACCTCGTCAACCTTTTCCCCAGCATCTTCTGGTTTGGGGGCCTTGTCTTTTGCCTCGTTCAAGTTTTGCTGAGCATCTTGCGGCTCCGGCGCCTTGTCTTTCACATCATTGACTTTGTCCTGAGCCTCTTCAGGCTTGGGAGCCTTCTTCTTAGCACTCCCAAGTCCTTGCTGAGCATCATCTGGCTTTGGAGCTTTCTTCTTTAAAGTGTCCGTCTTCTTGTCAGCGTCCTTTGGTTGAGGAGTGCCTTGAGGTGGCTGAGGTGATTGCGGTACACCGCCTTCTTCTGGTTGAGGTCGCTTCTTCTTGATTCTTCTAGTAGGAGTTGGGCTACCGTCTTGCCTAGGTGTTTGGTCTTGTCGAGGTGTCTGGTCGGGTTTAGGTGGTTCAGGAGTTTGAGCCGGCCCTTGTTGATCAGGTGTTGGGCGTGGAATCCTTTTCTTCATTCGCTTTGGTGTCGCGTCTTGGGGTGTTTGCGGAGCACCTTGTCCATCTGAAGACGGAGCTGGCTTCTTTCGGCTTGGGGTTGGATCTTGAGGCGCATCATTCTGCGTACTGCCTTGATCTCCTGGAGTTGCAGCGGGCTTCTTCTTCTTTACCATCCGCTTAGGAGTTGGAGTTTGAGGCGTATCCTGCGGTGGAGCGGCTGAAGGCATTTTCTTGTGTTCCTTTAACGCGCTTGAAGGTTGTTGAGGAGTCGATTTGGATGGCTGCGACTGTTTAGCGAGCTGTGGTTGGGCTATTGATGATGGGGTTTGGGTTGAATGTGAAATGGTCTTTTTGAGTCGCTCAGAATCAACTTTCGGAGTCTGAGGCGTGGGTTTCTTGCTAGAGCTGGTTGACTTGTGGGTACGTACACTATCTAACTTAGATGGGGTTTTGGAGGGTTGAGGGGTCTTGGGTGGGTTTGGAGTAGACATAATGCCGGGTGTATCGAGGTAAATATATGACGGCCAAAGAAGTAGGACAATGAAGTCAACGAAGACCCTAATGATCATGAATGTATCTAGTGCTGTAAG